TCAGTGTGATGGGGGATGAGGTGATGCTGCCCAGTCTGACCACTTGGCGTCTGTCAGACAGGAAGCTAAGGATCCAGCTGCAGAGGGAGCTGCTCAGTCCTAGATCCTGCAGTTTCCTGTCCAGCTTCGAGGGAACGATGGTATTGAATGCTGAGCTGTAATCTACAAACAGCATTCTCACATACGTGTCTCTCTTCTCCAGGTGTGACAGGGCAGTATGTAGTGTCAGGGCTATGGCATCATCAGTGGACCTGTTGTGGCGGTATGCGAACTGTAGAGGGTCCAGTGAGTCGGGTAGTGCAGAGCGGATGAAGTCCCTGACCAGCTTCTCGAAGCATTTGCTCACGATGGGGGTCAGGGCTACAGGTCGCCAGTCGTTCAATGAGGAGATGGTGGAGGATTTGGGTACAGGGACGATGGTGGCCATTTTGAAGCAGGCTGGGACTACAGACAGAGAGAGGGAAAGGTTGAACATGTGTGTAGCCACAGCTCAGTGCAGCAGCCTCAACAATGGAGATGCTAAACATGGCCCTTTCAGACTCAATGTCCCCAGTTTCCCTTTGAATGCTGTTGAAGCTCTGCTCAAGGTAAGAGTTGAAGATCTTGCAGACCGGGGCCTTGTCAGGTGTTCCCAGCGCACCCTCACTATACATTTGGGTGGTTCAGGTCTGTCCACCGTCATCCCCATGTGATCCAACTCACCACGAGATAGTGATCATTTGACAGTTAAGCACCTCCCTTTACCAAAGTGCCGAGAACATTCGCCCGCATATCTGATGATATGATTACAAATTCGATCATTGACCTGCAGCCTAGGCTTTCCTGGTGCAACCTGTAATTACATACACTCTTATATTTGAAGATGGTGTTCATTATGGAGAAACTGTGGTCCAGTAACAGAACACCACTTGGTTTTGTGTTAGGCAGGCTGTTTCTCCCACTCACGTCCCTCCAGGTGTTAGTAGACACACGTGTTGAGGTCTCCCAGTAGTATGACAGAGTCCCCCAGTTGGAGCACTCTCAAGCACCCCACCCAGGGACTCCAATAATGCCAGGTACTCTGAAATGTTGTTCAGCGCATGGGGGCAGATGATAGACAGTACCCATTCCCCAACCCAAATGTGCAGGGAACAAACCATTTCATCCACCGGGAAATCCTCAACGTGCAGGCAGCAAGCCAAGGGGATACCAGGATACCCACCCCAGCCCGAAGCTTCTCACCAAGGGCATGTCCAGACTGGGAAAGACTCCAGCCCCTCTCCAGGAGACTGGTTCTAGAGCCAAAGACACGCCTTCAGGTGAGCCTGACTATATCTAGCCAGTACCTCTCAACCTCCCACACTAGCTGAAACTTCTTCCCCACCAGAAAGGTGACATTCCATGTCTCTATCACCAGCTTCAGTAGTGGGCATCAGTCTCCCAGGGTCTCCATCCTTGGCACACACTGTAACCAACCCCTACGGTGCCTCCCATGTCCCTTGTTCAGGCAGTAGGGCCCCAGTCTTCCCAGGTCTGGTAAATTGTTCCCTCAATGTTGGACCCATGGAAATGTAAATGAACTCAAGTTATCAAAGTAGAACATACTATGGTTTTGTTTTTCTTCTTTTTTATCTGATTTTATAAGATAAAAAATTGAAAGTTGGCTTTATTTATCACGAGGTACAAACATCCATCCATCCATTCGCTTCCGCTTATCCTTTTCAGGGTCGCGGGGGGTGCTGGAGCCTATCCCAGCTGTCATAGGGCGAGAGGCGGGGTACCCCCTGGACAGGTCACCAGTCTATTGCAGGGCTAACACACAGAGACAGACAACCATTCATGCTCACATTCACTTGCACATTCACACCTAGTGGCAATTTGGATTATCCAATTAACCTATCCCCACAAACTGCATGTCTTTGGCCGGTGGGAGGAAGCCGGTATAGAGTGCATGTTGGCCTAAAGCTATGTTTATAGGTATAAACATAGCTTGGTAAATTTTTTACTACCTTACCATATCACTCAACTTCAGCAAATGTGTGGAAGTGGCATATGCAGCTACTGTCCAACTGGACAAATAGAATGCAAGAGTGGTTTTCAGAATCCTGGCTCTATTAGCCCTGTCAATAACACATGAATAGAAGTGTCTTGTAAAAAGATGTTTCAATAAGGAAAAATACATTATAAAAATAACATTTTGTTCTATCAGCACTGGAGATTAGCACATTTCAGGGAACTTTGGCCTGCTGGACCAGGTTGAAGCTCTCAAGTGGATCCAGCAGCACATTCACAACTTTGGAGGAGACCCAGGATTAGTTACCATATTTGGAGTGTCTGCTGGTGGAGTGAGCGTGTCTCTTCTGGTAATCTACAGCTTAAATGAACTTTAAATAAACCTTTTCACTCTAGAACAAAAATTAATATTTGATGTGTTACTTGAATCACCAGCTCCTGTCACCACTGTCTGATGGGCTGTTTCATCGTGCTATTGCTGAGAGTGGCACAGCTGCAATGAATGTATTTGTGGCAAATGATCCTCTACCAATGGCGCAGGTTAATTATCCATATTCTTCCTTTTTTGGAGGGTTAAAAACATTTTTGTTGCAGAATAATGAGAATATTAAAATGGATTTGTTTTTGAAGAATATTTGCCATTTCACCTCAGGCAGTTGCAAATGCATCTGGCTGCAGTCTCGAAAGCACAAAGAAGATCAGTGACTGCATGAGAAACCTTGATATTGATACTATAGTGGGTTTTACACAGGTGAGGTAATGGGTGCAAACATGATAGAGAATGATTATTATGTCTTCTACAATATTTCTTTGAAGCCTTTGATTTCTCCCTCAGCTCTGTTCATGCTATCACATCTTTCACTTTTGTATATTTAATTTTCTCAAGGATCCAAATTTGAGAATTCAAGTAAATGTTGATGGACATTTCCTGACTAAACCTGTGGATGAGCTGTTTCGTAAACATGAACTCCATGCTGTTCCATTCATGACTGGTGTCAATAATGATGAAGGTGGATGGATGCTTGCATCAGTAAGTGTCACAGGAACATGTAAATAAAAATCTCCATGATCTCAATGTAGTTTGTTGTTGTTTTGTAATGTTGAAAAAAAAGTAATTTGGCTTGGTATTTCCTTAGTTTTTTGCTCCCCAAAACTGGACAGAAGGACTAGATCGGGAATTTGTTTTGAACATGGTTTCCTTCTTCTACCCCGACGTAAGGCAGACACCCCTTGATGTTACAATATTACTGTCCCCGACCTGCTCGAGCTTCTTTGATTGATGTGTTGCTTATTTCTTTAAGCCTAAAGCAGCATTTATCAGCGATGTGATAGCTGATGAATATTTAATAACTGAATAACAAATGTATGTGTGTTTAGATCTCCTAATGGGCACAACCTTGTCCACTGGCCAAAGTATGGAGCAGAAGAAAAGTACCTGGCGATTGGTTTAAAAAAGCAGGTAACTGCTCAGCACCTGAAGAAGGAGCGCTTTGTCTTCCTGACTCAGACCGTCCCAGAGAAGATCAAACAGCATGAGGAAAATGCAGAACGCAGCGAGCTGTAGAAAACTCACATCTGGTCTCTGCTCCATCAATTTTTTAAAATAATTAGAATAAATCATAATTCATTTAGCGACCATTCTTTACACATGAAATATTAGTTACAGTGAACAACACTTTTTGGTAAAACATTTGGTGTTACCTTGATCATTTCCATTCTAACATATATTTTTTTAGAATCCATGATTGTGTTCTTTAAAAGCGCTATTCTCACCTTTCCACAAAACCCACGTCTCCCGTTTATAACCAGCACTGTAAACATAGGGTATGTCAAATAATCCTCGTTAATGACAAGAGCAGTTTTTGTATAGTTTAAGACATTGATCATCGATAAACGAATGCAACTGTTTTTACTTCACTATAATCAAAGTGTAATTGTGGAAGTGAAAGAAAATAGTAGATAAAAGGTTGCTAGTTGAGAGCAGCTGTCATAACATAAAAAAAACCTTGTTAAAATAAACAGATGTGACATCCTGGTTCTTTTCAGTTTTTATTTTTTTCTCATAAGAGGTGTTTAAGTTAACTGCTGTGATGACCCTTTGTGACACCAGCCAAAAAGAGCCTCCTATTAGTAAAGCTGCATTGTAATTGTAGGCCAACATGCACTCTATAAATTTTGTGCCCCTTGATGAAATCTGGATTATATGCCCTATAGTTTAGGTATATTATTCTACTGCAGTACTCATCTTAACTTCATGCCTTGATAAAACTTTAGGTGTTGTGATTAGCTTACATGTTTTCATGGCTGATGCAAAACTGCTTTTCATCTTTACACCTATCCTACTCATATAGGAGTGGATGTTTCTTTTACACAGCACAGTGATTGTGCTAGTGATTAACATTAAGCACTATGATTGGTGAATGGTGATGCTGGCAGGTCGCCTGTTAGGCATTACCTCTACTAACAGTGTTTGTATTTTATGTGTATTTTTGATAAAATTGTCTGGAATGAAATATATTTCAGTAGTGCATTTAAGAAATCTGAGCAGTTGTTTAGCTATGGGGATTTTATGCGTATTTCTAGTGTTACCTGATAACTTAGCATTCCATCTCTTAAAATATGTTAATCTTTTGGGTTGGTATTGGTACTAATTTAAAAATATATACCTCAAACGTGCACTATGAAAAATGTCTGAATATTTTTGTGTTGGCTGTCATGTCTTTTCTGTACATATTTTATATATTTTATAGCACATTTAAACAGCAGAGGTTGACCCAAAGTGTTTTAAAGACCGGCACATTTACATTACAATGTATTTACGTGAAAAACTGAAAGATGTGTTTTGCTGCGAAAAGTAAAAATCACAGTGATTTAATGGTCATTAAACTGGTTTTAAAATTTGGCAAACGGATAATGATTCGCTGCTCTCGTCTACATAACCTCACTTTATTGGTTAAAAGTATTGGTATTGATACAGCTCAATCTGCCTCCACGCGTCTGCTTTTGGATACTGCTTCCCTCAACACGCAGCCGTCTGCGTAAACTACAAGCAACGACACTGACTGACTTGACAGCAGTGGGACAGACAGTTTGCTGTACTTTGATCGCTTTTTGCTGTGCCTTAAAATCAGTGCAATCCAGTTACACCCCGCAGGATACAGTACATGCGCTTACAAGGAGACTGCTTCATATGAGGAAGCCCTACTTCTCTTGGCTTTTCTCTCACTTTTTGCACAATCGTGTGTCGTAATCTGCCCCAACACCACCATGACGTGCCATGCCAGGCAGACTTTTTGCTCTCTAATGCCAGTTTTATTTCTCTGTGTTGCTGCAGACCTGGACGGTGAGTAAGAGGAAACACTTCTTTGAACATTGACATTCGTGCTTTTGCGTTTGTTGATCTATAGAGCACATTTCATTCATAATGTTGTAAATCCAAGCCCATCATGTATTCATGATTTGAATCCTGGGTTGTGCGAAATCCTAGAAATACACCTTAGACAAAGTGAATCTGTGAACTAAGGTGTAGGTCTGTTAGGTTATGTTGTGGTGATCGTCGGGTTGGGGGATTTGTGTTCATACTGGAGTTCAAAATTAAAAGCAATGGAAGATGGACAAGAAAAGTTCAAAGCCATCAAGTCCCCAGTTTAGAAAAAAGAGAAAAGAAGAGGAGGAGAAACGAGCAAAAGATGCAGGTAAGCAGGCTAGGACCGCCACTGCATCTATACCAGGGGTGGGCATGGTGTCCCTGCAGGTTTTAGATGCGTCCTCGAACCAACACAGCTGATTTAAATGGCTCCTCAACGTGTCCCGAAGTTCTCCAGAGGCCTGGTAACGATCATGTGATTCAGGTGTGTTGACCCAAGGTGAGATCTAAAACCTGCAGGGACTCCGGCCCTCGTGGACTGAGATTGCCCACCCCTGTCGACCTTTTTTTTTGCTCATAAATACCTTTATGAAAAGTGATCACCCTCGCAAAAAAAAAAACCACATAGATTTATCCAGGTAGTAAAAACAATTTCCGCGTTTAACTCATCCTAAATGGAAGAAGTGAGATTGTTTTTCTGTCGATTAAAATTGGTGGAATCACGTGACACCCTGCACGCTATATTAAGTCTTAAGTTACGCGGAGGAATCTGCATGAGGAGGGACTGCCTCTCCTGGCACTTAGTTTTTGCAAAGTCGCCGATTGTTGTAATGTGTATCAAGACCACAATGAAGTCCAATGCAAAGCTGAATTTCTGGTTTTCAATGTCCGTTTTATTTCTCTGTGTTGCTACACAGCTGAGAGGTAAGTTAAAGTGAAACGCTTCTATGAACAATGACATCTGTGCCCTTGTGTTTATCTCTGGACCGTGCACCTCCAGCTGTATGTCCATAACTGGATCAAGGACACACATGGTTTATATTAACTGGCTCTAGTATTTCATTACTGATCTTCACATAGCTGGGTGACTGTAATTTGATGGAAGCTACAAATAAATAAGTAGTTCTTTTTCCCCCCTGCTTTTTACAACTATAAGTATTTTTGAAATCTGAAATATTAGATTTCATAAATCATGAAGCTTTATGTTATGATTCTCACTGATTTCTAATATCCTGACAGCGCCTGTAGTCCACACAAAGCTCGGGAGCCTGAAAGGTGAGTATGTGAGTGTGAAAGGGAAGGAGACTGGCGTCCATGCCTACCTGGGTGTCCCATTTGCTAAACCACCCCTCGGCCCTTCCTTGAGACTGGCTCCACCTCAGCCTGCAGAAAGATGGGAAGGAGTAAGATATGCCACTAAACAGCCACCAATGTAAGAAACATGTGCTTCAGTTGTTGTAAAACACAGTTTGAAAAACATCCAGCATTTATTAAATGTTTTTATTTTTCAGGTGCATACAACCTGAGCGATTTGCTTTGGCACTGCTTGATAAACTCGGTTTCTTGTTGGCTGATATCCCAGACATCTCTGAAGATTGCCTTTACCTCAACATTTACACTCCTGCTAAAAGAGCTGATGATGCCCAGCTCCCAGTAAGAACCTTTTGCTGTAGGTTTTGAGCCTTGCTGGTCATTGCTGAAGAAATTTTCAGTGACAGTTGGTTTCCTTTTAAGGATTTTCATATGACAAAAAAACACCCCCTTTTAGAGCCAGTTGCAATGGGTTTGCCTTTATACCCAAATATTTTTTGTTTATCTTAAACATTAATTTAATACTTATTAATTGAGACTCATGCAGTGTGCTTAGCAGGCACAAAAATTGCTTTGAAAGAAAAATAAGAATGAAGAATCAAAAATATCTTTTTTTTTTTTTTTTTTTTTTTTTTTCTCCCCAGGTCATGGTCTGGATCCATGGTGGAGGCCTCACAGTAGGATCAGCTTCAACATATGATGGATCTGCCCTGGCTGCTTACCAGGACGTGGTTGTGGTTCTGATCCAGTATCGCTTAGGACTTCTGGGTTTTCTCAGGTAAATAAACTTAAGTTACCAAATTAGAACATACTGTTGTCCTGTTCTTTTCCATTTTCAAAGACTGCTCACCTTCACCAACTCTAAATTTAGCTTAGTATGCCATTCAACTCTTTGTTTTATCAGCACCGGAGATGAGCACATTTCGGGGAACTTTGGCCTGCTCGATCAGATTGAAGCTCTCAGGTGGATCCAGCAGCACATTCACAGCTTTGGAGGAGACCCAGGATTAGTTACTATATTTGGAGAGTCTGCTGGTGGAGTGAGCGTGTCTCTTCTGGTAAGAATCTACAGTTAGAGGAACTTTATATAAACTTTTGCTGTGGAAACCAACCTTTAATATGTGATGTGTTACTTGAATCACCAGCTCCTGTCACCACTGTCTGATGGGCTGTTTCATCATGCAATTGCTGAGAGCGGCACAGCTGCAATGGATTTACTTGTGGAAAATTATCCTCTACTAAAGGCACAGGTTTATTATGTTATTCTGGGGGATGTTAATCATTTTTCATTGTAAAACAGTAAGAATAATGCAACAGGTTTGCTTTTCTAAATTGATATCTTTTCACCAGGAGGTTTCAAATGCATCTGGCTGCAGCCTTAAAAGCACAAAGACGTTTGCTGATTGCATAAGAAGCCTTGATATTGATACCATAGTGGATTTTACCAAGGTAAATTACTGGGTGGAAACCTGATGTGGATTTCTGATTGGCTGAACAGTCTCATGAGGTCTCTTAAATAACTCAAGGGAACTATTTTTACTTATTTACTTATCTTTTACTGTTTTACGCTATTGGAATTTTTACTTTTGTGCATTTTATTCACAAGGACCGACGGTTAAGATGTCCTGTAAATGTTGATGGGCATTTCCTGACAAAACCTGTGGATGAGCTGTTTCGTAAACATGAACTCCTCACTGTACCATTCATGATGGGTGTGAATAATGATGAAGCGGGATGGATGCTAAAAAATGTAAGTGCCCATCAAAATTTGATATCTTATTTTTGTTTAAACCGGCAATGTTAAGTGCAGCAAGGTTTTTATTCTTTCTTTTAGTTATTCATTAGTGTTCCACAAAATTGGGCAGAAGGAATGGATCGGGCACAAGTCATCAATGCAATGGCCTTCTTCTATCCCAATGTAAAGCACACACTGCCTGATATCACAAAATGAACCCAACCTGCTCAAGCATCTTTCACTGATGTGTTCTTTATTTCCTTAAGCCTAAAGATGCATTCATCAAAAATTTGATAATTGATGAATATATTGGAAACGGTGCCAACCGTGTGAAAAACCGAGATGGGTTCTCTGAGGTTACTGCAGATATTATATTCAATATTCCAGTCATTAAAACTGCTAATGCGCACAGAGGTAACTTTTATAGATTAATGCACATTTATCTAGAAACAATTATTTCATATTTACCGCTCTTACTAAGTGTGACACTTGTTTGTCTAATTCTAGAAGCGGGTGCTCCTGTATACCTGTATGAGTACCAGCATTCCTTGAAAATGGTGCAGAAAAGAAGACCGAGCTTTGTTGGGAGTGATCATACAGATGAAATTTTTACAGTGATGGGATTTTGCTTCACAACTACCCATGTTAAACTGCCTCGTGAGTGAAACCTAAAAAGTTTAATCTGAGCATGAGATATTTGGTTTGTTAGTTTTTGGGGTTTTCTGGGGTTGGAGTGCAGGATTTTTTACAAGATTATCACTTTAGATCCATGCTTTGTGGAGGAGGAACAGTTGAGCAGAACCATGATGAGCTACTGGGGCAACTTTGCTCGGACAGGGTAAGCTTACATATTTTAGTATACTGGGAGATAATACCACATTGTTATATCGTGTATATCTGTCTGCGTGTAGGTCTCCTAATGGGCACGACCTTGTCCACTGGCCAAAGTATGAAGCAGATGAAAAGTACCTGGCGATTGGTTTAACAACGCAGGTAACTGCTCAGCACCTGAAGAAGGAGCGCTTTGTCTTCCTGACTCAGACCGTGCCAGAGAAGCTCAAACGGCATGAGGAAAATGCAAAACGCAGCGAGCTGTAGAAAACTCGCATCTCTTCTGTTACGTCAGTTTTTGATATCATTACCAAATAATAAAATGCATAAATTAATCACTTATGACTTAATTGCCTGCCTTTCCATTCTACATTCACACAACTCATACTAGCCAGTAAGCTATGGTTAACAGATGTGCGATTCAGTTCTGCTGCTTGTAATCGGGGTTTAAAGTGTTTTAATTAATTTCATTTTCATGGCACCAAATCAGAACAACAGTTTTCTCAAGGTGCTTTATAATGCAAAGTAAATGCCTCAGAATAATCAGATAGCCAGATGATCACCTTATGAGCAAGCACTTTGGTGACAGTGGAAAGGAAAATCCCTTGTAACAGGAAGAAACTTCTGGCAGAACAATGGCTCAGGCAGGAGTGACTATTTGCTGGATCGGCTGGGGGTGAGAGTAGATGACAATACACATGCAAAACGGTGTGAAATAAACAGATGTGACAACCTGGTTCTTTTCCTTTTTTTTTTTATTTTTTTTTTTTTTTTCCTCTTGTTTATTCATTACTGAGAAGAGCGCTTAAGCTGAAAAGCTCCCTGAAGTCTGATGTGAGCAGTTCAATAGGTCAAACTTAGTTTTCCACAAATTCAGGCATATGGCATTTAAAATAGTACAAAGCAACACTTTTAAAAGGCAAATTATTCAAACAGCTGGGTTACAGAGAAAATAACTTATCAAACAAATTCACTAAAGTTGAGATGGAATTTAATGGAGGGACAAAAAGGAAACACAACAACGCTTTAGCAGATATCTATTTTTTGCAAATATTAGTAAAGCTGCAGTCTGATATAAAAGTGCTGGCCAGTGGTTTTCAAATGATTCAATATATTGCCCAGAAAAGTGCACTTGGAGTAGGAAAGCTACTGGGCATCACCATCAGGCCATAATGAGACATACAGACACTTACTTGGTACTGCGCTGTTAGATCGTATAATGTTCAGCTACTAGGTCTAGAATTTAAAACAACTGGGAAACCTGTAGGGAATAACTTTGCAGGTATAAAGCCAGGCAAACACTGTGTCAGCCATTAAACGAACAAACTCAATACATTTCAAAGGTAAGTGAAGCTTCAGTTTCATACCATAGTTACAGAAGCACAAACTGTCTAACGCTGATACTTTGAATAAATCCAGATTATGTATCTGTTATCGTTGTCACATTACAATTCCTTTTTCCATCTTACATAATAATTCAGGTGTGGTGATAGTAAGCATGTCTGATGTTGCTGAAGGACATAAACGTCTGACCAACGCTGGTTGATGTAAGTACCGTGTTTGATAAGACGGCGGGTGAACAGTTAGAAAATTGCCCGCTTGTAAAACATATTCAGCAATTCTATTTGACACCATACAATGAATGAAACTTAAAACACGTTTGTTGTACTTAATACTCGTCTGTCCTTGTATCACTAATGTCGGGCAAAGAGAAACACCTGAGATGCTGTCTTTTCTAAAGTCTGGATGTCTCTAAAGGAAAAAACTGAGGGGGGAAAAAGGCATGCTGCTTTATTGAAAACAAAACTGGTTCAGATAGTGGTTATGAGTGTAAATAAATGCAGCATGCAGTTTAATATGTTGGGCACTGAACTCAGTATAATACTATATTATATAGTAGAATACATTGGACACCTTTGTCTTCTTCAAGCACTGCCAAGTACAGACATGGATTTAGAATCAGAGGCACATACAGTTTGATCTATAATAAATGGTGTCATTCCTTTGTTCTTTTTTTTTTTTGTTTTTTTTTGTCCTACAGTGAATAAATCAATTTGTGACCTGTTATCATGCTGCACTGGAGAATTAAAGTCATACGTTAGGTGAAGACAAACAGTGACACGGGCAGCCTTTCAAAGAGTTTGGATTGGAACAAGCTAAAGTATTAACCTATGCTTCAACTTAAGTTATGATAGTATCGTTGCCAGCAGAAGACAGAGGTGTAATTGTGTAGAATGGTTGTTATGATGGCTATTACTGTGGGAGGAGACTTAAAGCTTGGTGCATCAGGATGTCCAGGACTGCATGTTGCGCAGCATGGCCTCAAATCGCTCCAAGTCGGGGGCATGAGCGTGAGGTAAGTTGTCCGTCAGGCGACTGTACAGACTGAAAGACTTCAACTCCAGCCAGATGAAACCAAACCGGTCCTTATCAAACAGCACAAAGAGCCCCGGGGTGCGCTCCGGACTTGTAAAGCCATGCCCAGCAATCAGGCCTGTCCCATAGAAGCTGAAAGAGAGATACGTGTCCTCATCGATTAATACATTTTGTTACATATATTGACTGGTTCATAAACGTACACTATGCACAGGATATTAAAAGCAATAGTGAAGACGTCTTGATGCATTCTCAATCATCCAGGAAAGTAAATCTCCAAAAAGTTGATTCTGTTCATCTGGACGTAGCGTTTTGTGGACGTAGCGTTCAGTCTCGACTGAAGAAGTCACTTGGATGAGTGACGAAACGTTTCTCCCACAAAATGCTATGTCCAGATGAACAGAATGAACTTTTTGGAGACAATAGTGAAGACCAGTATTTTCCTTCATTGATGAATTAATTGTGACCATTACCTTAATATCATTGCCCTTTATGGTAAATGCCTTTCAAAATATTTTGAATTCTGTAACAAAAGCCTGTTAGCCAAATCCTCACCATTTTCTGCAGGTGCGAGGGTACTCCTCGTTGCGAGCCATGACCCCCATAGGCAAGACAAAAGGCTGTGTTTCAGGATTGGATCTGCTACTGTGACTAGAGTCACAGCTGTCTGAACAAGCACCGTGATCTGACTCAATCTCCTCTGCTGCGCTGGAACCACCACAGGCCCCTTCAGCTGCACATCTACCTGTGGCAGAAGTGCCATTTTCCTTTTGTTCCTGCTCCCTCTGTACTTCCTCATGCACTCCCATTACTAGCCGTGACAGCTCCTCAATGTTACACTGTTGCTCCAAGTCTGGGAGGACCACAGGCCGACACAGGTTAACATCCAGTGTGAGCTGCCCTGCAGGAACATTGGGATCTCCCTGCAGGAAACCATAAAATCAGAGTATGCACCATGAGTAGATTTACATGCAATTTAAATCCACAGTGTTGAAAAAGAAAAACCCATTTTCAGTTCTAAGGTTTTATGTATCACAACATAATTGGGAAACAATAGAATAGAACAGAATTCAACTTTATTGTCATTGCACATGTCAGAGGTACAAGGCAATGAAATGCAGTTTGCATCCATCCAGAAGTGCTTTAGCCATAATATAGATATATAAACAAAAAAAAAAACACCAAGTCTTAACCAGGTCTGAATGTTATTTAAAGACTATCTCAGATTAACAATACCACATGATACCATTACACAGCATCTTATTTATTTAACAAAAATACAGAAGTGGCGTGTGAAAAAATAAGTGTACACTAGATTCAACAGAAACCAATGTTAGCAGCATTAACTTCAAGTAACTGTTTCTGTATGACTTATGTATGACAACTCATACCCTGGATATGCTGAATGTGTTTGCTGAAACTGGGGCTGTGCATTATGGCCAAACAGGGTATTGGGCCTCATTTACTACAGTGTGCATGCACAAATCTGTGCATAAATTGTGCACACGAATGTTTCAGGCACAAATCTGTGATTTTAGAAAATTTTTGTGCCTGAATTTGTTGGTACTTTAGGAATAAATTTAGAAGTCCCTCTGACCATGCACTGCACCTAAGGAATTTAAACAAAGGTCTTTAAAATGCACACTACTACTAGTGATACTAATAATAACAATAACACTTATAGTTATTATTAATATTGGCTTTTGGTTGGACACAAAGTGCTCAGAATTACAAAAAAGGGATGTAAAGAAAACAAAATACTATCACTAAGGAAAAGCACAGCCACTGTTCGGAGGAAACTCATTTCCGCTGTTCATATCCTTTCAGTCACTAACCAACATTCATGACCCTAGGTGAGGGTGAGGGTGAGAACTTTTGAGAGTGAAAGTATTTTTTGCGTATGGCAAAAACATTTCCACACAAATATAAGTAAGTGAGGCCCACTGTTGCAGAAGTCTTGTGGTTTGTTCAAATTATACTTTGGAGACCTAAGCTGTGCTGACATGTTCTTTTTAGAGAGAAGAGGCATTCTCCTGTCACCCCTTGCAAATATGCCATCAGAATCAGAATTAGAATCAGAGCCATACTTGTTAAGTCATTTTCTAGTTGTGCTGTAATGAATTTTAACATTTAACATGCTAACTAAAGCATGCAGAGTCTGAGATGTAGCTCTTGGGTTTCTTGCAATTTTTACTTGCAATTTTTACTTGCAAGTACTGCAGGGTCTGATCTTAGGGTAAATTTGCTAGGATGTCGACTCCCGCAAAGATTTGTTGTCTTCAACTTCTGAATGATCTCTCTTATTGTAGAATGATGGACTTGAAATTGTTTGGAAATGGCTTATTTTACTTTGCAGATTGCTGCTCACACTCACTGGTGATCAGTTAATCAAGTGCTTTTAATTAGCAGCACGTGGTTACTACTTACCGTCTTAGTTGCTACAAAAGCATTAAGTGTGCACTTAATTTTTCACACACTTCCAGAATTTTGGCTTAGTTTTAATTAAAGAGATAAAAGACACAATGTAACATGTTATATCTTGTTGCTCCTCTAAGAATGCATGAACAGATTGAGGGATTTTAAGCTGCAGGGCCCACATTTAAGAATCACTTTCATTTAAAATGAGTACAACCACTAATAATGATTATTACTTACAGTGAGTTTGGTTGCTCTTGCAGACATTCCATGGAAACTAAGCATGACAATCTCCAAGCCATGACTACCATAGGTGCCTTTGAAAAGGCCTGGCTGCAGCAGATCAGAGGGCTTTGCAGGTGGCAGGTAGATCCTTCGGTATGTCAAGCAGTTACTGTCATAGGAAAATAGATGAAAGCATACAGGTTTATTTAGGCATATTACAATCATTATCATTTTAACATGGAAGTACAACAGAGAAAATGCACGTAAGCAAAAAATAAATACAAAAAATGCATACTCATATTGACTAGTATAAATGAACTTCATTAGGATAAGCTCCTGCATGTGCTCATGAAATATTTCTTCCAGTGTCCTCCCCCATTCTTCCTCCAACCATGTCCTGAACTCCTGCACAGACACACACATCGTAAAAAGTTGATAACAGTCCCTGAATTTCACCATCATCAGCATGCATGGGCTTTAAAAGATAGCATACACTGTAAAGGTAGTAAAGGTATTTGACCCACCTCCTGTCTGCCTCCTGGCATGCGGTGATGGTCAGTCTGGTTACACTTTGTTGAAAATTCATCCTTCTTTACTGTCTATATATAACAGAATATAAGACATATAAGAGAATTACATACTTTGATAAGATATTAAACTCAAACTAACATCATCTATTTGTGTCAAAAAAGACAGTATCACTCCGCTTTTTCAAATGTGTAAACCCTTACCTGTATGTCTCCTTTGTGAGGACCTTTGTGTCCATACATGCACTCCACAGTGGCCTTGTTGCTCTCCATCATGTGGATCTGGAAGAGTGGGCGCCTTCTCATGGGGTCCTCCACGCGGGGGTCGTGAGGTGGCAAATACATCCAGCCAATGATGAACAACCCGTCCACCTGAATGAAACATATTTTGAAGAATTTACCTGCACTACCTAAATTATATGTTCCTTTATACCAATATTTACTATATGTAGCAGTTTTGTGCAAAAGAGGAAAACTACCTACCACAACATTGAGCAATCCACCATAAGGGCCAATGTCAGGCTGCCATAGGCCCAAAATATGCCTGTATGGGTAAAGTACTGTAAAACAAGAGCATAATAACACACCATACAAATCATTATATGCACTGCTTCACTTGAGGTTTAACATTAGCTCACTGTCTGGTTGACAAAAACAAACAAACACCAGTTGATGTTAAAAAACACTCAACTTTTGGTTTATGAGCCAAAGGGAAGAAATGTGTAAACTGATGGTGTTTCTGCCAACCAAGTTTCTGAACAACACACACAGCACACCTGTCTTTCCATTTCATTTTCAATACTCACACAAGAAGCTCAGGGGATATTTTTTAATAACCATAACCATAACGCAGACTACATTGCACTGCTATGACTGTGGCTTGCAGATTAAGTCAATAAAAGTCACCCCACACGTAACCCATCATGCTGCAGCCTCCACGTAGAGGCCCATGTACATACAGTGTGTGTACACGTCTTTATAGTCTATATATATATATATATATATATATATATATATATATACATACATACACACACACACACACACACACACACACACACACACACACATATATATATATATATATATATATATATATATATATATATATAAAAAAAACACCCAGCACGCCCCTGCGGGCGGTTTATCCTTCAAGCTCGGGTCCTCTACCAGAGGCCTGGGAGCTTGAGGGTCCTGCGCAGTATCTTAGCTGTTCCCAGGACTGCGCTCTTCTGGACAGAGATCTCCGATGTTGTTCCCGGGATCTGCTGGAGCCACTCGCCTAGCTTGGGAGTCACCGCACCTAGTGCTCCGATTACCACGGGGACCACCGTTACCTTCACCCTCCACATCCTCTCGAGCTCTTCTCTGAGCCCTTGGTATTTCTCCAGCTTCTCGTGTTCCTTCTTCCTGATATTGCTGTCATTGGGAACCGCTACATCGATCACTACGGCCGTCTTCTTCTGTTTGTCTACCACCACTATGTCCGGTTGGTTAGCCACCACCATTTTGTCCGTCTGTATCTGGAAGTCCCACAGGATCTTAGCTCGGTCATTCTCCACCACCCTTGGGGGCATCTCCCATTTTGACCTCGGGACTTCCAGGTTATACTCGGCACAGATGTTCCTGTACACTATGCCGGCCACTTGGTTATGGCGTTCCATGTATGCCTTGCCTGCTAGCATCTTGCACCCTGCTGTTATGTGCTGGATTGTTTCTGGGGCATCTTTACACAGCCTGCACCTGGGGTCTTGCCTGGTGTGATAGACCCCAGCCTCTATGGATCTTGTACTCAGAGCTTGTTCTTGTGCTGCCATGATTAGTGCCTCTGTGCTGTCTTTCAGTCCAGCTTTGTCCAGCCACTGGTAGGATTTCTGGATATCAGCCACCTCCTCTATCTGCCGGTGGTACATACCGTGCAGGGGCCTGTCCTTCCATGATGGTTCCTCGTCTCCCTCCTCTTTCTTGGGTTTCTGCTGCCTGAGGTATTCACTGAGCACTCGGTCAGTTGGGGCCATCTTCCCAATGTATTCTTGGATGTTCCTTGTCTCATCCTGGACTGTGGTGCTGACACTCACCAGTCCCCGGCCCCCTTCCTTCCGCTTAGCGTACAGCCTCAGGGTGCTGGACTTGGGGTGAAACCCTCCATGCATGGTCAGGAGCTTTCTTGTCTTTATGTCAGTGGCTTCTATCTCCTCCTTTGGCCAGCTTATTACCCAGCAGGGTACCTGATCACGGGCAGGGCGTATGTGTTGATGGCCCGGATCTTGTTCTTACCATTCAGCTGACTCCTCAGGACTTGCCTGACCCTCTGCAGGTACTTGGTGGTTGCAGCCTTTCTAGCGGCCTCTTCATGGTTCCCATTTGCCTGCGGGATCCCCAGGTACTTGTAACTGTCCTCTATGTCTGCAATGTTGCCTTCTGGTAGTTCAATCCCCTCAGTTCTGACTACCTTCCCTCTCTTTGTTACCATCCGACTACACTTCTCCAGTCCGAACGACATTCCAATGTCATTGCTGTATAGCCTGGTAGTGTGGATCAGTGAATCGATGTCTCGTTCACTCTTGGCATACAGCTTGATGTCATCCATGTACAGGAGGTGGCTGACAACTGCTCCGTTCCGTAGTCGGTATCCGTAGCCAGTCTTGTTAATGATCTCACTGAGGGGGTTCAGGCCTATGCAGAACAGCAGTGGGGACAGAGCATCTCCTTGGTAGATCCCGCACTTGATGGTAACTTGTGCTATGGGCTTGGAGTTGGCCTCTAGTGTTGTACGCCACATCCCCATTGAGTTCCTGATGAAGGCTCTTAGGGTCCCATTGATCTTGTACAATTCTAGGCATTCCAGTATCCAGCTGTGGGGCATTGAGTCATAGGCCTTCTTGTAATCAATCCAGGCAGTGCACAGGTTGGTCAGTCTGGTCTTGCAGTCTCGGCTGATTGTTCTGTCTACCAGTAGCTGGTGTTTTGCACCTCTGGTATTCTTGCCAATTCCTTTCTGTGTCCCGCTCATGTATTGACCCATGTGCCTGTTCATCTTAGCCGATATGATGCCTGACAGGAGCTTCCATGTAGTACTGAGGCAGGTTATTGGTCGGTAGTTGGAGGGGACCGGTCCCTTCTTGGGGATCAGGACCGTCCGGCCTTCAGTTAGCCATTCCGGGTGTCTTTCGTTAACTAGCAGCTGGTTCATTTGTGCTGCCAGACGCTCGTGGAGTGCAGTCAGCTTCTTCAGCCAGTAGGCGTGAACCATGTCGGGCCCTGGTGCTGTCCAACTCTTCATACTGGAGACCCTTTCTTGGATATCTGCCACTGTGATGGTTACTGGACCCTGTTCAGGGAGGTCGCTGTGGTCTGCCCTCAGATCCTCTAGCCACTGAGCATTGCCGTTATGGGTTGCATCCTTCTCCCATATGCTCTTCCAGTATTGCTCCGTCTCCAGCCTTGGTGGTGCTGTCCTCTTATTGTTCCCTTGCCACTGAGAGTACACCTTTGCTGGTTCTGTGGAGAACAGCTGGTTTATTCTCCTGCCTTCTATCTCTCTGGTGGCCAAGGCTGTGAGTCTTTGCTTGGCAGTTTCCAAGGCCTCAGGTATGGACAGCTTGCTGTATTTCTTAGGCACCTTATTTGTCGCACCTTTCTGCAACTCCGTTAGTTGGCTAACCTCCCTCCGTGCTACTTTGATCTTGCCCTCTAGCCTCCTTCTCCATGGAGGGTACTGCCCCTTGTGGCTGTTCAACTTGTAGCCAAGCATCTCACTGATCACTGCTGCCGTATTGTAGATCAGCTTGTTAGTGTCGGTAATCGTGGTTGTAGGTATTGCCCGTAATCGTGGTTGTAGGTATTGCCCGTAGTGCTGCATTAACATCATCTAGCAGACCTTCTGAGGGTACTTCACGTAATCTTGGTAACCTGCTACGGGGATCCAGGTTTCAAGCTTGGCCATGATCCTATTTTTCAGGTCAGTTCCTCTCGCACTCAACGATCCTTCTCCTATCGCACTTGGGGCTATGTACCCAATCTCGGGTGGGGGTGATGATATCTCCCCCCTGACCTGGCGTCCTGACTCCTCCTTGCCGTAGCATTTGTGTTGTACCTCGTCAATCTCTAGCTGTGAGAGCAGTCCCTTCTTTCGAATGTTGGAACACTGAGCTACTAGTTGTTTCGCCGTCATTGTGGATGTTGGGTATCGAAGAATCCATAGGTCCCTCATCCTATTCATGTAGCCCCTTCCGCCGGGGTTACTTGCGTAGTAGCATTCCAACAACGCCCTGTTTTCGTCCCTTGCCCACCGATGCCTTCTTGTTCCAGTAGCCCACTTTTCGTCAGGGTGCCCTGGTTCCTCAACACCTGACGCGGACCTTGTTGATCCGGGCGACGTCCGAGCCGGCATGCCTTCATATTTATCTGTCTCGCTCATGTCTGCGGTAGGCTTGCTTAGCATAGGGGGTCTAGCCTTAGGACCCTTACTGGATACAGACGCCCCAGGCAGGAATCGAACTTGCGATCCTCTGTTCCAAAGGCGTGTAGTTTAACCACTACGCTATCCAGCTGCTATATATATATATATACACACACACATATACACACACACACACATATATACTAGGGGTGCAACGATACACAAAATTCACGGTTCGGTTCGATACTTTGGTGTCACGGTTCGATATTTTTTCGATACAAAAAAATGTTCATGCCTTTTTAATTTGTCATTTATTAAAATTATAAATATATATTTTAACTCAAAAGTACAGTTTTTAAATTTAACCCTAACTAGAGCTGGGCGATATGAGATTTTTTCATATCACGATATGTTTTTTTCATTTCAGGCGATAACGATATCTATCACGATATAAGCCAAATAACTATATTTGTAAGATTTAAATGTGCTGTTGCTCACAAGTAAAATGTGAAATAATCAGCAGCTTGTTTTTATTTAAATATTTATTTCCCATAATAAGTTCAACAGGGTAGATGTACTTAAGGAACATGAGACTTTTTCAGATAAATAAAGGCAAATATTGCAAACTACACAAAAGACAGCCGCTAAAGCGTTTAAGTTTCAAAATAGAACAAACGAAACAGACTAAATTGTCAATTCCACTTAGAAACAAAGTATTAATTCTAAAAATAAATCTTAGTTTGTTTTACAGAAGAACAGACAAAACTGACTAACTTTTGTCAATATCAAATAAACTGAGAACTAAAAGGAAATTCTCAATCTCTCCTTGTTGTATAGCTTAGCTTTTCAAACAGTTTTAACAGTTACTTTAGTCTGACAAAAGCCGAATGACGAATTAGCGCTTCCAGTCAGAGACTGAGGCTATGTCCACACGTACACGGGTATTTTTGAAAACGGAGATTTTCCGTTTTCGCTTTAAAAAATAATCCCGTCCACACATAAAGGCAGAAATGAAGGAAAACGGTGCTATGAACATGCCAAAGCAGCAGGTGGCGCTAGATTCCTAACCGTGCAGAAATATTGGCCAATCAGAAGTCTAGAAGCCTCGGTGGGAAAAAGTAAACAAAGCTGGGGCATAGAAGCAGAACCGAGTCGTATGTGTGGACCGACAGTAACTGTGTGTATATGTAAGCATTTAAACACTGCAGAGAGTAGAATTAACAGTATTGTAGAAATTCATTTCACCTAAACAATAACGTGGCGCACAGTGTGACGCATGCACCAGTTCATTGTATTTCCAGACTTGCTTTCGGCACAATTTACAGTGCACGGCTACTCTGTTTTTTGTCAGACTTGAAATAGCCGAAATACCTTCACACTACGGAACTTCTATGGCTCTTCCGTTCGACAATCTCTCCGGCATTGGAACCATCATCTGTTTTCTCTTCGGTCACGCTCGGTTGATTTTTCTAGTCGGTACACTCATTTCCTCCATTACCCGCTGGCTGCTTCCCAAACAAACACACGTGCGGCTTGGCACTTGTGCTGTACGTAACAAGTCACGCGACGTGAAGCTGCGGCTGTGATTGGTTCGGCTCTGCGCTACTTAATTTGGATCGGCCGACCTTTTTTTTTTTTTTTTTTTTAAGAGGACAAGAGCGGCGAGGTCTATCGCGATAGCTTAATTTCTCTATCGAGTAAGAGTTATATCGCGATAGATATCGTTATCGTTCTATCGCCCAGCTCTAACCCTAACCCTTGTGCATGTTTTTTATTTTGACAGCGAATACGCACCTGCGGACCACTTATGTGCAGACCTGGTTATTTAGCTCGTCATATTGCAGCCACAGAAATTCTTTTGTCCATGAAACCATAAAGCTGCACTTTCTTTTTGCCTTATAGTCTGATTTGTCACAACTTCTCCGTTTTGTGGTAAGCTTTTCTTTGGCTGTCACTTCTTCACCCTGACCTGTCTTATTTGGCTCAGCAGAACTAAAATATATATCTGTCTGTGAAGGTTCTCAGTCATCCAGGTCATCGTAGTCAAATATATATCCTGCTGCTTTTACACACGCACTCACATAAGCTCAGCGATTCTCTGCGCGATCAACCTCTCACATGTTTAAGCTTGCTGCGGGAGATTTCACTTGTCATGTTTGCATAGTAAGCTAACAATTAATAAGACGATGTCAGAGGAATTGGTGCACAAATTATCATCACTCACAGATCAGTGCTGTCGCTCTCTATACAAAGTGAAAGCAAAAAAACAAGCGCAAATTCAAACGCAATTTCAATATGTCACATATTGACAGTGGCTCACCGATGCCAATGACATAATTACCCAGCTACATTTCTGAAAGAATGCAAAAGCATTGACATATATTTTTCCTTCCTACAAAAGCCCGACGGGCAGGGAAGAGATAGATTTTGGTACCCCGACTGAAAAAAATCGCTAGCTCCAGGATGTCGGGCTAGCGATATTGCAAGCCCTGTATCTGATTGAGGAATCACTCATCTTTGGAAAAGAGAGTTTATTACAGAGAAATGTCTCTTTCCAAAATAAAAGCTATACTATCCGCTTCTTTTGGGCTATATTCTCAGCAGCATATTAAACAGCTGTCTAAATGACTCGGCTAAAGTTAGTAGCATGCTTGCTTGTTTTTTTTCTGCTTCCACTTGTCTTTGCACTAGGATGATGTCGGCGTAAATGTGCAGTCATATTCGTTGTGTTCCCACTAGTGCTTTCAGGTTAATCTCGTTGAAATGACCTTAACGCCACAGCACGGCAAATCTCCGTTAACGAGCTACCGCCGATTGCCCCGTGCATGGGGCTAGACGGCCAACACGTTAACGAGCTAACTGCGCTAACACACTAGTTCCCACCCATGTAATTGAGCATTGCATGGCACATCCAACATACTGTTTTACTTTAGTCCATGACTCGCTTACCTTCAGGGTCATACGTCACATGAAAACCAAAATAATTCCAAAGGCCAGATCTGAATGAGGGTGGTCCATGGGGGAGGTCCATGTTGTAAGGGGAGCTTAACTTCTGTCTCGCTAGCTTGCCCTGCGCTCGACCCTAGGCGGAGCAGTCGAACGCAGATTCACTGAGCGCTCAACACAGACAGCATCGTCAGAAGGAAAGTTGATAAAATAAATTACAAATTTTGTATTGTTCGACACATATGCGTACCGAACCGAAAGCACTGTATCGAACGGTTCAATATCGATACGAATATCGTTGCACCCCTAATATATATATATATATATATATACACAAGGCGTGTAGTCTAACCACTACGCTATCCAGCTGCTATATATATATATATATACACATACATACACATACATACACACACACACACACACATATATATATATATATACGCACACACACATATATATATATATATATATATATATATATATATATATATATATACACATACATATACACACATATGTATGTATATATATATATATATATATATATATATATATATATATATATATATATAATATACACACACACATATATATATATATATATATACACACACATATATATATATATATATATATATATATATATATATATATATATATATATATATATATATATATATATAAAAGACTGTCAGATTTTTTTTCCTTTTTGAACCAGTAAATATTAAATCCATCAAAATATGAGTGTCCGTTTACAGAATAACCTAAATGAGCAGGAATGAACCTGCTTCACTAAATCGATAAATAGATTATCTTAGTTCGAATTTATTATGTTATCAAAGTATTTACTTCTCTTATATGTCTTATATTGTGTTATATTTAGACAAAGAAGGATGAATATGTGACATGAGAGCTGAGAAACTAACGTTTAACATAGAGATCCTGGCTAGTCACTCCTCGTGCTTCCACCTTCCTCAGATCCTCCCTCATGCCAAACTCTGCAAGGAAAAAAAGAACAAGACAAAACAAAACTTAGTTTGATTATGACTTTGATTATAAAGATAATCACACTTATAATTAATGTGATAAATAACCTTGGTATTTATCTAATTGAGAAAAAGCAGTGAAGTGAGAACAATTCCGATATTCCTGGTGTCTTTTCCCCTTTAAATTGAGATCAGCGAAATAAAGACTTTATAGGGCAAAGTTAAACCCCAGTCATCAGACACAGACCTGACCAGATCTGAATTGCACAAATTCTCAGGCACACAGAGCCAAAAGCATGAGCAACAGTTTCAACAGAAATCCAAAAATAAGACAGTGGAAATGCTTTTGGAGATTGCTCTGATGTCTAAATTCTGTTTGTACTAAAGAGAGATATAAATAGAGTAAGACCTTAAAAGAGAATGTGTGTATGTGTGTAGTAAAAGTACTAGTGGTGGCATCTGTTGCTGATATTAATTGCTCTTATTGAGCAGCAAGTAATGTCTCTCAGGGCCACTGAAATGACGACTTGCTTATAAAGCGCTTTCCAAAAGTCATCATGTTACTGTCTTTGATGCTGTACAGACATGTTTATTCTCTTTGTTATTCTCTGCCAGACATTTAAGAAAATGTCTCCTAGTTTAAACAGCTGGTATTCTGAATGTGTGTCAAGTCAGGACTAGAAGGTTATCTCACGCGCTGATGTTTTGAAATCCCAACACTCATGTTTCATCTAAGACTTAATTAGGCTATTACTGATGCACTACTATATTGCATTTTCCTAGTTAATAGATTGGTAACACACACACCCCCAAAAAAGACAGAAAATAATAAATGCTTATTGCACAAATATGTTTAAGTGGCTCATTTTTTTTACCTAATCAGCCAACTGATTTAAAGGGTTATTTTATAATTTGCAATTTTCTAATCATTTGCAATTGCCTTTTATTGTCCATTAATTTTTAAACTTTGCACGTTGCATGTTTCAAAACACTGAAAATGAGCTGGGAAACCCGGAAGTGAATCTTCAGCTCTACCAATTTATGCTCGTCATGATTACATGGACTGTGACTGAACCGCCTTTGTTGAACCCTGTCATCTGCAGTCACCTAAGATAATCGCAGAGGGCTTGGTCAGGGCCTGCATCAAAAGTATAAACCGCCAGACAGAATGGCTGACATGGCCCTAATGAGAGTCACAGGCCTTGGTCTATTCTTAAGCAGCTGTGTTTACAGAGCCAGCAGCTGGGATATGGTGGGGTAATTTCCTTCATATTTCCCGCAGAGATCAATTGAAATGCTTTTAAGGGAACTCGTTTCCGCGAAATCAGCTGATACATAAATTCTTACGACAAGAAAGAAGCTCGGACACTCTGATCAGAGACCCGAGCTTTATATTTCGGTCTTACGTTATCGCTCTATGTTTAAATTGCAATAAACGTCCAGGGCTGCTACATTTACCTTCAATGCATCGCCTTCTCCAGATGGTTTCCGTCTTGAGTAGTTGTCTGAATTTCTTACAAACGAGGGCAACATTTGATAGAGTTGTTCCTGGGAGCAAGGAGAATATTTCCACTAAAAGCTCCGGTGGTAATTCCGCTAAGGACTGGGGGTGTGGAGGTCCCGTGCTCGTGCGATCCAGAAAGCCCCCTGTGTTGACACGACCGCTGCCATATTCGCAAGCGTCACTCGGCCCTGCAGTGGCTGCTACGCCGCGCTCTGGGCCTCCGCAAGCACCTGCGTCGAATCTCCCTTTGCCCACGATCCGCTCCTCTTCCTCCTCGTCCATGTCGGAATCGCTGCCTTGATCCTGCTGGTTATGCCTCTGTCGCCTTCGGCACCTCCGAGACTGACCAACTCCGCAGAGCCTGGCGCAAACAGCCATCCGTAGTTACCAAACAGGCAACATTACATCACTACAACACATCCATCAGCTGCAGTGTGCCTGATCCTTCCTCGTCCTCGCGAGCATGGGCAAAGGCATTTCATCTGACGTCACAATGTTCCCGTACAGTGCGTAGTTTGTTGCTTTTGAACATAAAGCGACGGTAGTGTGCAGTATCTCCTGCAGTTACGCAAGTTTATAAGGGTAGCCTATGCCTGAAAGACAATGCTCTTTGTAACCGCTTACTAACACAGGGTTTAAAGGTCACGGATCAGCTCGTGTCACACAGCTGCAGAGTTTGCAGCGACATGGTTCCTTTTTAAGTTAGGAGAAAAGCTTAGAAAGTCACCCTCTAAAAGATCAGTTTATTGTTATTTAAAATAGTAACATTAGTCTTTATTAAATGCTTTCATTCAAAATAAGCATGAATCCGTGCAGAATAATATCCAAACTGATAGCCAATAATTGCATTTTAACATTTATGTTTTAGGTTGTATATTTGTCGAGGTGGGAGGTGTTTTTGTTCTCTGTGCAACATGCACTCAACTTGGGATCAAACAGCAATCTTTATAAGACAGGCATTGCTAAACCAAGACCTATTTCTAATGCTAATTTAACATTGATTGCTTGTTATTCTACTATAGTTTTGTAAAACACAATATTTTCTGTGAGTTAGTTTATGTAAAGCAGTTATGTACAATGTGTTGTTCACACTCCTAAGTGAAAAAGAGACAAAATTAACTATTTCTGTCCAGTTAGATTCGAATCACTAAGATTTCTATTTTTATTTCTTTTCTCACTTTTCCCCAGCTCACTTCATATCCCCGCCAATGATTGCCTTTTGAGTTATTTTGTCCTTTACTCATTTTTCTGTCAAACATTATTTAAGGACTGCCCTTCCTTTCACTCACTGGCACTTTTCATCTTCACACGGGGTGTCAGTTTTGATTTAGCCGTCCATTTGTGTGAGGGAAAAAGAAATTTCTATTATTTACCAATCAAATGCCACCCTGAATTCCAAAAACTGAAATTTTAATCTTCTTGCACCTTAAGCAGTTTCCACTTTTGAGTGGAAGGGGAATGTTTAGTCAGGATGTTTTCCATAGTTGTCCTTTTTTCACATTAATATATAGCAGGAACCAGTCTGCTACAGGCAGATTAACATATTATTATTATTATTATTATTATTATATACCTATTATTAAAGATCATTACTATTCTATTCATGTCCTGTAGTATGCTTAAGATCAGAAATTCAAGAATTCAAGAGGTTCTCATTCTCATAATAACCTTAAAAGCAGATATTCATCTCACACTATCTTGGGAGCAACCAACTGCATTGCCGCCCTTGTAGAAAATGTTTAACACTGGTGGTCATGCTGTCTTCATATATACATGAACAAGACAATGGTGAACAGCATGTGATAATATCCACTAATAAAATAATATCTCTAGTGCCCTTTTTGGTGCCATTCTCTGCCATTCACTTTCAGGGATGTCAGTGAGGTCAAACTATGAATGAAAGCACATGTTTCAAAAAAAGTCCTGTATTTATTTAGTAAAAGCTAAACTAAAGGATAAACCACAATACGAGGTTAATCAGAAGAAAGGACTGAGATGTTTCTGATCACTTGTTTCTAGGAATAATGCAGCATAAGTCATCATTCCTGCAGTTTGTATCTAATATAGACTCATCTAATACCAGCAAACACTTCCTTCAGATGCTGCCATATTCAAAACACCATTAACTAGACATCTGCCACTTAGCCACTTGATGTATGCAGGCGAGTATAATTTGAATCCTTTTGGCCACAATCTACAAACTTCCCCTGATCCTGCCTAAACTGAGCTTTATATTCCCATCTTCTAGCGCTTGCTGGATTAGAGGCATTTTGAAAGGTTAAACCTCAACAGCCGGAGCTCTGAAATACCTACACCCAACAGATATCGCCACCAAGGATTACTCCGAAAACAAGAAAGGCCAAAAAAGAAAAAAGGGAAAAAATGACACAGCTGAGAAGACACTTGTTTTTTCTAAGAAAGACGGGTGAGTGTCTCCACATTTAATGAAGGCTAAACAATAAACATTCTGGCAGCAACACTCATAATAGTAATCACTGGAGACAACTGCAACACAAAGGAGTACTTGCTCATACACTAAATCTGTTTCCTGTTCTCTTTATAACCCTGGATGACAATCTGAAATGTTGTCATTCTCTAAATGGACTAGGACATGATGAGGAAAATCGAGGAGGCCCGAACAATGAATCAAAAAAAGGATTATATTCATAAAATAACCCAGAAATTAAATAACAAACAAACAAACAGTAGACATTTAAAAATAAAATAAGAAAAGGGAAAGGAAATGAGCGAGCCATGTATGCAGTATGAAAGATCTAACATTTTTCATCGTGACCACTGGAAACTGACACCTTTTTCTAGGCATATGAATCTAAACTTACCAGGTTGAATGAGGAAAGTATTTTTTAGACATATCAGAGGAGATTTTCCCCAAGGCAAGCTTTCCCAGATGAATGTGCCTGATCCCATCTGCCGGTGGATCACTGACTTCCTGACGGACAGGAAGCAGCATGTGAGGCTGGGAAAGAATGTCTCGGACTCCCGGACCATCAGCACCGGCTCCCCACAGGGCTGTGTTCTTTCTCCTCTGTTCTTCTCCCTGTACACTAACTGCTGCACCTCCACCCATCAGTCTGTCAAGCTAATCAAGTTTGCAGATGACACCACCATTATTGGACTCATCTCAGACGGGGATGAGTCTGCCTACAGGAGGGAGGTTGAACGTCTGTTGTCCTGGTGCAGCCACAACAACCTGGTGCTGAATGCCCAGAAGACAGTGGAGATTATTGTGAACTTCAGGAAGCACACAGCCCCACTCCCCCCCATCATCCTGACTGACACCCTCATCACCACTGTGGACTCATTCCGCTTCCTGGGTACCACCATCACCCAGGACCTGAAGTGGGAGTGGGAGGAAGGATGTACTTCCTGAGGCAGCTGAAGAAATTCAACCTGCCAACACGGACAATGATGCAATTCTACACTGCAATCATTGAGTCCATCCTCACCTCCTCCATCACCGTGTGGTACGCTGGAGCCACTATCAGGGACAAACAGAGACTGCAGCGTGTTGTGCGCTCTGCTGAGAAGGTGATTGGCTGCAGACTTCCATCTCTGCAGGACCTGTACACCTCCAGGACACTGGGGCGTGCAGCTCGGATCACAGCTGACCCTTCTCACCCTGGACACAGTCTGTTTGACCTGCTCCCCTCAGGCAGGAGGGTCCAGTCACACCAGAACCTCTCGCCATAAGAACAGTTTCTTCCCCTCTGCTGTTGGACACATGAACAATAAACGTATGACTGTTCCCACCACTAACACATGACCCTACACTGTGTTCACTGCATCATTCCATGTTTGGCACTGATCACCACCTGCACTCATGTATATATCTATCTACTTAGCACTTTTAATTCTTATTTTTATGTCTATTTAAGCGTTATATGACAGTATGTTTGCACTAAGTACCGCAGCAATTTCCTAATGTTGTAAACCTGCTCAACATTTGGCAATAAAACCCTTTCTGATTCTGAGATGTATGGCAGAAAATTCTCCCATGGTAGCACACTGGTTTGCATATAAGAATATGTTATTTTAAAAATATTTTTATTTACAGACATGTATTCCAGCCAGGAACAGCCCTTCTGCATCACCATTCGCACTATGAACTGAACCTTGAGCCTCATCTGCAGATCTGAGTCCTTTTAAACAATGCTATCTAGCTCTACCTATACAGCTCTTAATGATGAAAAGTGCAACCACTGCTATGTGGAGAGTTAATAGACACTTAATATAGTGATTGTAATAACCTAATATCTGCTGCATTTTCTTATTCTTGTATTACCCAGAGAAACAGAAAAATGCCTAAAAACAGTGTGTCAAATCCCTGCCTAGCTGAAAGATGGACTGAGCCTGCCAGTGGCTCCATCTGCTGGTCATTTGCTGCTTTTACTTGTAGCACTCACCACCTCTTCACCACAGTTGTTGAGAGAGTTACATTTTAGTGCAAAGCAATATGCTCTATACTAGATATTGGCATATTCTATGATATTTGAATATAATAAACACCTTTATATGTACACTGAAGACCAAACAAGTAAATGTAAAACGCTTGATAAAAATACACTTGCGCTTCAGCTGACCTTGAATTTTGTAATGTTTCAACTGAATTTGCTTTGTTTTTGTTGTTGTATTTTATCATTTTTGCTGATTATCTGTCTCAGAAATAAACATCAGAGTCATCTACATTGTGAACAATAGTTAGTGGCCTGCTTAATTTCTTGTGCCAAATCATCTACATAAAAGGGCAAACAATGTAGAGGAAAATAAACCCATTTACTCCAATCACTGGGAAACCAAAATAGTAAAATACAGTAATATATACTCTATAAGGTATCTACTGATGCAAACAAAGACTAGGATTAAATCAAGATAACAAACAATCCTGAGGAGTTGGATTACCATGGATGTAAGAAACGTTTTGTGGACGTTTAAAAATTACAGGGTTAAACAAACATGTTATCCCTTTATCCAATCTCAGTGCTTGCCACAGAGGTTGTATTAAGATACTGTGCTTTATTTTCATGGGGTATCATGATGAGTAGTCGAATAAATTGTACAATTTAATGGAACTCGGCTTTTTTCAGATTCAGATAAAACAGCTTGAAAAGAAGCAATCGTGCAGTCTGTGAGTGGCGTCTACAGCGGTGACAAGCGGTCTCCTGCAGACTGAGCTCCCTTGAATGAGCGTTGAGGAAACCTCCGTGTGAAGCACACGAAGGCAAGGTCTCATCTCTCGCGAGGAACGACGCCATTATCGGAAGCTCTACAAACAACACGAGAATTCACCATTCACACGGTAATATAACCCAATCTTACACGGTACATGTGTTGTGTGCGAGAATGAGGAGAGAAGCTGCATCAAAATCACATTTAATTTAGCGATTGCTTCAGCATTAAACGAATTTTGCATTACGCTCCAAAGGCCTTTAGGCCCAACTAGCATGCTAACTACCACGCTAGCTTAAATAGCGTCTCCTTTAAGTTAGCATGCAAGCTTTCAAATCCGATTTTGTAGCGGCAGCTAACATTAGGTGCTAGTTATGATTCTGCTGACGCTAATTAACTAATGAAAAATAAATAAAATATCTGAAGTACAGTAGTTTTGAACCGTATGTCTAGTCGCATTACATAGATACATAACAAATAGATGCTCCAAGTTAGTTTTCCTCCGTTTATTCGCCTGTGTTTAGCATCGTCAGACCCCCGCCCAGTTAACTAACCAATCTAAAGCTCGTTAGTTTGGCTAGTAGACGTGTACCAGCTCCGTGCCATTTCTTTATATTTGTAAGCTAAACTGTAGTAATCTAGGCTAAGCAGCTAAAGTCTAAAGAAAATAGCCTGAAACAGCTGTGTACGACCGCGTTTCCTTATAGCTAGCCACTATCACAGGTAACGGTAGCCTGCTTTAAAAAAAGCGCCAGGAGCTTTTTGCAATTTCAGACCGTTTTACATAGGGCTTAATTTAGTTGAGCTACTCTAAAACTGATTTTCGCTCATTTTATGTTGGGCATAGCATTCAAATAAACCCTCTTACATAAATGGTGTGTGTCTTCAGTAACAAAGTTTCCTTTGTGTAAGTTTAAGGACAAAACACACATTTATTATTCTTTTTTTAAATGTAAAGTAATGGCGCAAACTATTACTCTTAAGCTGCAATCCATGCTTTTGTTAGTTACGTAGAGACGGGCCCACATAAAAATGTCATACTTTGATTATTGTAATTTTCCCTTATGCATCTATGCTTTTTTGCCATGTTTGGGAAACGAGGAAATGACTCGGGAAGACAAAGCTGCGAGATCATGACTCTGGATATCATTTCTCATACACACAACATGATTGTTAGTTTATTCGTGGCTGTTATGAGGATATAAGCCTTGTATTTACAATAGATGGATCCTTCTCTCACACATTTTAATTGAGGTGCTGTGCATTTCTGGAGTAATACTTTTGTTTTTAATAATTTGTTCCACAACTGCGCTAAAAATGTGTTGGTGTTAGCATTTGCATTACAGCTCCAACATTTTGTTTCCAAAATGTAGGCAAATCACTAAAGCAATTGTGCAGTTATGACACAAAGACCAAGGAAACCTTGAAAGTAGGCAAACAAAGCAATGCAACAAATGAAAAGCAGCAGCTAAAATTAGATGAATTATACAGGATTTTTCTTTTCAATATTTGGCAATACATAAAGGCTCAAAACAGGACAACTTATAACATGTATTCAAGTGAACTGATACACGGCTCAGAAGTTGCAAATACTCTACTGCAACTTGCAAAAATAAATTAGTTTGGAGTGTGTAAGTGCTAGATCTTTCTTGGGTTACTGAATTTGACAGTTTTGTGGGAGTTACTTTGTCATATATTTGTTGTGTAAAGGTAGCTTATTAAAAGTGTAACCCTAACTGTATGAGTATGTATGAGTATTAGGACCACATTAAGAAAAAAATATTATCGATCATTTTGAGATTAAAGTCAAAATACTATTATAAGGGGGAGAAAAATTATATGTGGCGATTACACAAAACAAACTGCCACAGTTGCCATAGTCTCTGGGTTAGGGAAACCGTACTTCAGAATCGGTTTTAGTAACAAGGAAGCATATGATTTCTCATCTCTTGATAAGTATAAAGTGATAAGTCAAAAATATGCTGCAGAAAGATGCATCTGGTCAGATAGACAAAAACACAAATTAAGAAGAGTGGGTTTGTACAAAATTAAATGGCTGGTAATGGACAGATGCAAGGTTGTTGATGGTTCCACTCTTGTCCAATGAAGAGGATGTATGTTGTATCACAGAAAGGCTAATTAATTTGTTTCACTAATTCATCTAAACAAAGGATTTTTGTACAGGTATAGAAAATATGGCAGTTTGTCTTGACACAACAATGATGATCTCCACGTTTCCACTACTTTATTATTAAAACGATCAACAGTATTGCTTTTCTTTTAATGTGCTCCTAATATTCCGTCGTAGTAACTGCCACTTTGAAGTGTTACTCAGGACACAGGCATTTTTGTAGAGATCTATCTTTTGTTATAGAGCCCAGAGTTGTACTTGGTTTAAGAATATGGAGTTCCTGTGTGAGGACAAGAAAAGATAAAACTTAACTAAACATGTCAAACATTTGTACTGAAGGAGAGAACCTTTATTGTTGTACTATTGATAACATAGTGGTTATTATATAAAGCTACACTTAATGGAAGAGGACCTTTGAGATTACATAAGTAAACCTTGTGGTGCACACAACACGAATACTGCTAAGGTATTCGAATACTTTAATAACATTATATTAATTTTTTCAAAAATAATGATTAACTGCACACACACAAACGTACCCAACCAAGTATTTGAGCATAAATTGTAGAACATCAGATACAAGCACAGTATGTGTCATGAAAACTTGAGACTTCATGTAAAAGATAAATGGCACGAATGCCTTTTCGGAATCCTGTCATGAATACTTGACTTGAGGATGTTGACCACTGAAGAAGAAGAAAGTGTACTTATTGTCCGTGGGAAATCGCTCTGCATTACCATTCACTCAGTGAACAGTGGCACATTGGCCCGGAGCATGTGTAGGACTTGCCAGGTACTCAGGTACTGTTCAGGATCGAACCGACTTCAATCATGGGCCCACTCTACTGGCTATCCTCCTGCCAGTAATTGTAACTGAATGTTCAAATGATGGATTGATCTGAAAAGCTGAGGCACACTGTATGCTCAAATCATTTTTTTTGGTTTTGCATTTCTTCTCTGCCAGGGGTAGTAGTTCTTTAGCAGCCAACACAAAGTCAGCTTTTGAGACTAAAGGAATATGGTTGTTATTTATGTAGCATTATTACCTAATCATCAGTTCGTAAACCTTTAGAAAGTGGGTTGTTTATTCCAGTACTGTTTTAACAGTCTTGAGAAGAACACTGCCTCTTTAGTTAAATTGTTTCTCACACTCTGCTACACATGTTATTTAGTGTATTTAGTGGAAGCAGTGTGCATGCAGCTGCAGCTGCAGGCCTCGGTCATTGTCTTCACCCACTGTTTTGTGGTTACCTACATTTTGGCTACTTTAAGAGTCCAATACACGATACTTCTCTTGCATGCAAAACAGAAGAAAATAGACTTCAAACTGAAGACGGTGCCCAGGGCTGTTGTTATGCCTAAAATGTGAGTAGAATGTCAAAGGCAGCTTCACTGCTGCTTACAGTGAAGGGAAATACACACACAGTAGCATTCTTCCTGCAGCCACAGGTGTCTGTGCATGATTTTTTTTAATATACCTAATGTTGGTTTATCTCTGCACGGCACTATTACATGGCACAAAAGAGTTTCAATCCAATTCAATTGAGCGTTATTTAAAATGGTACCATATCACAACAACAGTTGCCTCACAGCACTTTATGTCCACTGATCTCACCTGGACCACAACACAAATGCCCTGGTAAAGAAGGCCAAGAGTGGCTGCACTTTCTCTGTGTCCTGAGGCAGAATAACCTGAACCAGAACCTGCTGCTGGCCTTCTACCACTCTTCAGTGGAGAGCGTGCCCTCCTACTGCCTGGATGTTTGGTACGCAGGGGGCCACTACTGAGAAACCTGTTTGACCTGCTGCCCTCTGGTCCGTGCCTCAGTTGAATCAGGTCCCACACCTCCGGATTCACAAACAGCTTCTTCTCCTGGGCTATTCAGACTGTTAACAAAAACTATCCCCCCGCACCTCACCAATCTGAACCATTGTCCGAGTAACTCTCATCACTCAGGCCACTCACATAAGGACTCTATACTCAGACCAATTCCTTTAAACTACTTCCAAGCACTCTGTTCTCCAATGTGTGCCTTTCTCTTATATTTGTATATATTCCTCTAATTGGTTTATCTCTCCTTTTTACTATTTATTCCTGTTGTCTTATTATTTATATTTTATTCCTGCGCAGTTGGCATGGAGCACCCATATTTTCGATGTACATGTACAATGACAATTAAGGACTATTCTATTCTATTCTATTGTATTCTATTCTATACAATAATACAAAGAAAACAGAAATTCCCTACAATCATATTGCCCACTGCTAATGTGTAAATAGAAACAGACAGCAAAAAGATATTTTAATTTATATAAACATATCAGTAAATGAATATTTTAATGTCTTTTTAAGTTGAACATGTTCTTCCTGCATTTCAGCGGTGAACAATGTCTGAACAAGAGCTGAATGAAATTGTGCAAATAACAGTGGAGGACTTTAACCAGGAAAATCGTACTGGTAAGATTCCTTTGCAAAAAAAAAGGTCATTAGACTCTTTTTATAATATAAGGTTAGGATTAAGCAGACAGTACTTTTCTCCTGTGTAGAAGCACACCTTCACTCTTGAAGTAAAATCTAACAGGATGGTTTGGTGTGTTGTTTTGAGGGTGTCTTTTCCTTTGATTCATGGCAGACATGATGGACAATCATGAAGATGATGAAGAAAGGTCTCAGAAGAAAAGAAGGAAATTAAGCAACGGCCAGGAGAATAACAATAGCAATCAAGATATCGCTCTTATTAAGGTAGCAGCTCTTTATAAACCATATACTGTTTACTGGTCATACATTTATATGTAGTTGGTAGAGCTTAATTTTGCTTTTGAATTTTTTTCAGAACTTGTTGGTATCATTCACTGGGTCAATCAGCCAGCGGCTGGAGGGAATTGAGTCAAAGCTACAGTCTCTGGATGCTGCATGCAAAAACCTTGCACGCAAACTGGATAGCATGGCACCATGTGCCAGAAGTCCCATTCAGGTTCCTATGGTTGCAGGATCCCCTCAAGGGGCCACTCAGACTTGGAACAAAGTGCGATGGTAAGCTCTAAATGTTGGTGCCATATTGGCCACCAGTCAGTCAGGCAGGTTAAAAGTTCAATGAAAATGAAAACTATTTGTTTTGCTCTCAGTGTTGTCCCACAAACAAATGTTATTGTGAGCAGTGAACCGCCGAAGCCCTCAAGTCCAGAAGACACTCCTCTGGAGAACCTGCTTAGCAAGTGAGTGGCACACTTATTATACTGTATGTTATATCTGTCCAAACACACCACCACACAAGTTATGTCAAGTTACTGCCTTATAACAATTTTTCAGTTGAGCTAATAGTCTGAGTGTACCTATTTTGTTTTTCTGGCCAAACAAGATCTGTCAATGCATTGTGTTTCTTTGCAGCACAGTGACCAGGAGGCGACACAACACCATCCTAGTAAAGGTCCCTGGCCCAGAAGAGAGTCAAGAGGAACAGGAGAGTGGCTCAGAGGCCAGTGATTGTGTTTCCAACGGTGGTCAATCAAGCAATGCACAGAAAGGCCAAAATGTCACTCTCATCACACTCAATGCAGAAGGTATGACCACGCTGGTGAAGAGGCACAGCAAGGCACATATCTTTAGTTTCTTCTTAAAATTAGAAAAGGACAAGTATATTACTTACATAGAGCCATAGGTTGTTTTTAATGCCCATGTTACTCATTTTCAAACTTAGTTCTGCCATGTGTTCAAAATTTCTGTATCACAATTTTTCTACAGTAGAAAGTGACAGTCACATATGGTGAGCACTACCATTACTGATTGTGGCAGGGGGGGAAAAAGCTAGGGGTTTTTCAGCCTTTTTTTTTTTCTTTCAAAATGACTTCCTGATCTTTGGCGACTTCACAGCAACAAGCCTCAACAATGTCCCATCTGCAATCCCACTAATAGCAAAAACACTTATGCACTAAAAGTACACAGTGCTCAACATGTTCATCTGCATCAACTCTAAGGAAAAGTCACTTGCAGTAAATTACCCCCTGACATTTTTAGACCTCTCAGTAATTGATTTTGAATGTTTTGTTCAGTTTTTAGTTGTTTAATGTGTCTAACGTGACTCTTTCAGCTAATCTCCATATTAAATAGATGGCAAACTGTGCTGATGTGTTAATTTCCCTGTTTTTCTGCCTCAGATGCTGTTAGGCATTATTCATGCCTTGAGTTGCATTACTGTGTTTTTCTGTCTGAAACCAAGAGAAAATAGTTAACTATGCAAACTTAAACGAAGTCCACATTGTCCCATTGTTGTGCTTGCTGGTTGGATAATTTTTATTGGATCTGAATTTCTTGGTTACCTTCAAAGGCAAACTATTATTCATTCATTTGCAACTTTGGGTTACCATTATAAAAATTTCTGTTAGTCAGCAAGTTAGATGTTACCATATGCCTAATGCATTGGTCATGTGGTTTACTTAATAGCTAGCATAAACTGTGACCAAACCACATATTCTGTTTTTTTATAACAGTTATACTAAGTTTTACACAAATTCACTCACTTCCTTTTTACTGCCACATGGGGGTGCTGTCATATTATATCAATTATCTCAGTGGCTGTTGCTGTAAAATATTTCTCAATCTGTGCAACTCTTTGAAGAGCCGTTCCTCCTCTGTTCTTTAGATGATTATCCAGCCGGCACCTGGTTAGGAGATGAGAACAACCCAGAGATGCGAGTTCGCTGTCCAATATCTGCAGCTGATATGCTTCATATCAGCACAAACTGTCGCACAGCAGAGAAAATGGCGCTGACGCTGCTGGACTACCTATTCCACCGTGAGGTCCAGGCCATGTCAAATCTCTCTGGGCAGGGCAAACATGGAAAGAAGCAGCTGGACCCACTTATGATCTACGGCATCCGCTGTGAGTCTTGATAACATAACCATCTAATACTGGTAATTTTTGGGGGACTATTTGTTTTTGACCGAGCAGTGGTAGGTCTGGTAGTGAACATACTTCCATGACAAGCTGATTGACATGCTATTTGTCATGCAGAGTTTGATGGAAAGGTTGCCAAACCATGTAGAGATACCGTAACATTTTATTTGTAGGCTGCTGGTACTGATACATTTTCAGAAAGTATTAGGAGTTTGGGGCTTCATGCTACCATGGGCTTTGGAATATGTTCTTTGGGAGTGTTTGTAAAGTTAGCCCCTGTCAAGTGCACAGAGAGCATCTGGTAACTACTATTTACCTCATGGTTTCTTATATACTAATAATTTCACTCTGTCAGGGTTTGACTTTTTCAGTTTTTGATTTTAAGTAATAAATGAACTCTCTGAGACCTTTCCACGTTTCATCCCGCATTTTGTACAAAGCGGCACTGAGTAAAACACAGAAAATAGACTGCACTCTGTATTCCCAAGACGGGTTACAACAACATCCATTCATCATTGCACACATGCATTAATGTGCAACACATTTCAGAACATACCAGACTCTAAACGACAAGCACATGTCTGGTAGAAAGATCTTAATGGAGTCACTCTCAGTGCAAAAAACTCTTTGATTCTTGATTAAGTGGAGTCAGGGTTACACTGGTAGTGTATTTATTTATATAACTATAGGCCCTTCTTACAGTGTTAAAAGGGTCTCAGTTATCTGTAACCTATGCTCCAGAGTTCTGATGTACCCACTGTATCCCCCATTGGTGCAAGTAGACATAAGCAGAATTAATATTCTTTGTGAACTGCATGTAAGATGGTCAAATAGTCAGAAATCCCCTCCTCCCACACCTTGTCCACTTGGCTAAGGGATGTCTTGGTAACCTTTTGCTGTAAGTGTCTGGACAAGGCAAAACAAAAAAGATCCAGCAATCACAACCTAGTCACACCATGACTGGCCAGCTGTGCTGAGGTAAGAAAGAAGTATCCCCACAGCACACACCATCATGCCTTTTTGCTGCCTTGTAGTTTGGCCGGTCAGACTCTATTTCCTCTCAACAGCATGGGTGTGTAGTTACATGTAGATTTGTTCAGGCCAAAGAGAGTGTAAAAGGTAAATGTTGCTTCTGGGAAAATGAAAAAGTCAAACCAAACCCAGTGTCTTAAACCTGCATTCTATCTTTGGGCTGCCAGGGGGCGATATATGTGGCTCCCGTTCTACGAAAGTCTTTGGGGAAATGACCCTCTGCCCTGATCTCTGTTAACACTTCTCTGAGAAGTTTATAGACTTGCTCAGTCATTTTGAGCTATATAAAGTGTTATCTAAAATAGGGAGGATTTCCAGGGTGTGTTCATTTGCTAATGAGGAAGAGTGATGTCACTGAAGTATGAGCCATTATTTGTTCTATGTATGGTTCCCATTCAGAGGAGAACAACAAAAAAGAAAGGACAATTTACCTTACCTACAGAGTAACTACCAATTGCAAATCAGGGGCTTTTACACACCTGATGTGTAAAATGTGTACGAATATGGTGTGCCGTTCACATCGAGCACACAATTTCAGCAGGATGAATCTGCAGTATTACATGTTTTGGATCAAGTGCGATTTTATTTATTTAGGTATTTATTACCCCCCCCCCCCCCCCCCCCCCTTTCTGCATGTGGATCTGAAAATTCCTAATGTGTTTTTTTTAAAGTATAAGCTATATGACTGTATTCTTCTAAAAATGTTAAGAATTAAGCCTTAAGTAATGAGCAATCTGCTCATGCTCTTGCCACCAGTTGAATGTGTTAATATTTAAGTGTATAGAAAGTCACCAAAGCTAAAAGCAAAATATTTTATTCCCATCAGTACTGAAAGAGACTGAACGAGACAAATGAAGTAAGGAATATTTCACTAATTTTAGGTTGTTGATTTAAACCTTAGGTAACATTGACCTCTTCATGCTCCCACAGGCCACTTATTCCACAAATTTGGCATCACCGAATCAGACTGGTACCGGATCAAGCAGAGCATTGACTCAAAGTGTCGCACTGCTTGGAGACGCAAGCAACGTGGTCAGAGTCTGGCTGTCAAGAGCTTCTCTAAACGAACACCTCGCAACACAGTCACAGGTAAAGTACAGGTTGTTGTTTTTTTTTTTTACCAGAGGCTTGTTACATAAGTATAAATGTTTCTAACATCACTGGTACACGTTCATTTGTCTTAATGTGGAGATAAATTTAGCTAGTTTTCTGTAATTATTCTCTGATCAAAGTAGAGGCAAAATTGTAAAAGTAAACTGCAGCAGAAGGAGACATCTGTTGCACACTCTTTGTTTTTATTTATAGGCCAGTTAGAAAACTAGTTTTCTGTTTGTCAGTGTCAGTGGAGCAGAAAGTGAAACCACTGGATTCATCTTTAAAAGAGCTCTGCAGTCACACAATCTCGATTTGTAAATACTTTTGCTCAGTATGTCTGAGCAAAAGTATGAGGTCACGTTTGGTTTGAGGATGGGTCAACAGATGGATTAAACCAGTTGTTCTCTGTAAATATGCATGCATTTTTATTTGGTGAGTAATAAACCCACCCTCTGTGTCTTGTGCCACGCACATTCTCCATGCAGATTCTAGATGATGCTTGGCACGTTTTATATGGTTGCTATTATTTAGATCACATCAAATAGTTCATTTGGGCACACCTACCTTATTTTCAAAATGTTTGAAATTAATTGCACCTGCTAATATTCAGGATTTTCACCAAGTTCCTGGAATGGCAATATGTAGATGCTAGACATTTTGCAGGTCCTTGGCTACATTTTGTAACGGTGTCCAAACTCCTAATGGGGACATCGTCTCTGTTTTGTTTTTTCTAATCTGTGATTTTCTTGTGTGTCTTTCTCTTGGAAGTGAATCTTCCGTTCTCTTTTCTGTTCAATCCAGCTTTTTAACTAATCACCATTTTACCTACTCTTAGCGTTATTGCATTCAGGCAATGTTGACTTTTTGTAGGACTGCACAAAGTGCATCTCTATATCCATCCATCCAACCAGGGGTAGCAGTCTAAGCAGAGAAGCCCAGTCTCCTTCTCCCCAGCCATCTCCTCCAGTTCATTCAAGGCTTTCCTAGGCCAGCCAAGAGGTGTAATCACCCCATTGTTCCAGCGAGTAGACATACTTATCACATGCCTAAACCACCTCTACTGGAGTTTCGATCTATCCTTTCAGTGTGTAGAGTACTTTACTCTGAGTCTGTCCAAAGTGACTGAACTTCTCAACCTGAGTGACTGGCTAAGGGGCCAGCCACTCTTTAGGGGAACTTTTATTTTTGTCACTTTTATCTGTGATCTTGTTATTTTGTTCACTACCCAGAACTCGTATAGACTTATAGACTCCTTTGCATCCTTTACACCCTCCAATATCCTCCAAAGGATAAAGAGTTCTTTGACCAGGAGGAAAACTGGTTTGTTCTTCCTGAATCCAAGGTTTGACTAACTGATGGACTCTCCTTTCTAGTACGCTGGCATAGACTTTCCTAGGGAACGATAGAGCAGTGTTTTCTCCTTTTGACTCACCTCATGGTTTGCCAGAATCAATTCAAGGCCGACTGAAAGACTTCTTCCATGGCCTCATCAAACTCCCCTCTTACTGAAGTTTTTGCTTCAGCTGCTGCCAGAGCCACACTCTCCTTGGCCTGTCGGTACCTGTCGGCAGTGGTTGGAGTCCAAAAGACTAATGAAGCCTCATATAGCCCCTTCAGCTTGACTGCTCCAAATCATGTCCACCGTGTGGTTTGGGGGTTGCCATCACAACAGCCAATGCCATCAACCAGCGAGTGCACTGGTTAAGGGCAATGCAAACGGATGACTATATAGGACCATGAATCCCACTTCAGTGTTTTGCAGGAGCAAATATTAGTAGGCAAATTTGGGAATCCAAAATTGAGAATTGAAAAAAACACTACTATTATAATGGTTTGGGATAGATAGCCTTATTTGCAGCAAAGGGTGAATTAAATCAATTTCCACGTTTTTTTTTTTTAAAACTGCTTTTTGGCAGGAGTGAAAACAGTCAACAACCACAGAGACACAGAGTACTTTGCTTCATCTTATTTTAGCTATTTATTAGCTAGTTATTTTCAGCTACATGAAAGCTATTTCAAGACCGGAACCCAAAAGCAGTTTCTGCAGATGGTTGTAATCTGCACACAATGCCTGCAGTCCTTCCCTCCCTGTGAGTCAAAACCTCTCACCTCTGACCAGAGAAATGTAAGACTGCAGGGGAAACCCAAATAACCCATGAGCACAAATTAGGTGTGGGTTGTCAGGCCCCGCCTTTATGAGCCACAAACACCCCAGAATGTACAATGCAAAATATTAGTTGCAAATGCATCCAATAACATAAATCACAAACACAAATAAGTCATTTTGCATAAATCAGAACTGGAATATTTAATAATCAATTATCATATAGAGTCCAAAATTTACCAAGCAAGAGTTCTTCCTCATGTTGCAAATTTCTTTGTTTTCATGCTTAAAAAGCAATCCGACTACTTTTCTCATTAATGTCACTTCTTGTAAATAGGTCTTTTATTACTTTATATTTAAACATTGAAAACGAGAAAGTGATATTTTATTTTGCGGCCAGGCTCCACTTTGGATGAGGGTACTGATATCTATTTGACATCTCTGTAGATGCTGTTGTGCATTTCCGTGGGATGATGGCCAGGTCTGGTCAGGCTTTCAGACTGCTGTTCTGATAACAAACCCCAGACCCTGAGTTTGGCTGCTACACCATGAATCTGTTTGATGATTCTCTGGAGTCTTTAATGTATATTTAAGTGTCTGATACATTTTAAAAACCGTAATATTCTGTGGATGGCCTAGGATGATCCAGAATTTCTTATTAGAATTTGGTTATGTATCCTGGAATCCATTGAAAGCTATTTCTCACCTGTTTTTACTGTGTACATGAGTGCATCACTAATCTTATTGCTTTTCTTATCTAGAGGAAGGAATCACAGAAGAAACGGCTCACATTGAGACTGCCACTCAACAAACCTTGCACTATACATTGGCCAATCAGCAGGTCCAGTTTCACCGTATTGGTGAAGATGGACAAGTTCAGGTGGTGAGTGTCAGATTTTTTTTATTTCCAACTCTCTTTAAATTCATAAGAAAACATTTTTATTGATTGGCAAACACAACAGAAGAAAATCTTTCTGCTCATATCTCTGTTCTTTTCTTTGTCATGTGTGTACTTTATCTAAGAGGCCCTCAGAGCTGAGTTCATAGTGTACTAGAATGGGTCACACCACCCACTACAATTACCCTTACAGCATTCTGGAGGAATAGTGCAAATTATGTCAGTGAACCAGTGACTCATGGGATGTACATGAACAGATGCTATGGTCAGAGGTTGCGTTCAGGCCCAGTACAGTGTTATAGGTAGGCGGATAGAGGAAGTGACTGGATCTTTTAGTTCCCTCAGCTCTGAAATCACCCAGAATAGATGATCAGAGTTAGATACCAAGAGTCACAATGTCAATATATTCAGAGTCCTGATGGGTTATTCAAGAAGGAACTAATTTATATTTTCTTTTCTAGTGTTAAAACTTCATTTGTACAGGTTTGATAAGCCTATGTGGATACAATGTGATGAGTATTTCTGCTGTTTCTGGTTTACATCATACTATACATGATGCATAGTTTTGGCAGTACTCGTGACAGACCACTTCCCTGGGAAGGGAACAGATAGATGATAAAAAATACAGGGTAGACAGGCAGGAAGTGCTTTCAGGGAAAGGTGGGTGAGAAAGATTGTCAGGAGTTCTCCCTACTTGCCTGCCTGAGTAGGATTGTGCAAGTAATGGTCTCAAGGATTCACATTGTTGAGTGAGAGAGGGATTGCAACACCTTCTCAATATGATAACTTAGTCCTGTAGGGAAGACCATCCAACCTTACATCTGAGTATTAAAGACTACAGTTGAGCCTAAAATTTATTAGTACTCCTAATGCAGTAGGAGAAATTAATACTTGCAAAGAGTGATTGAGCATTGCAACCATCATTCCATAGTAACTCAATGTAATTTATCATCATCAAATTATATTTCCCAAAATAGAGCAGCTTAGTTGTTTAGCAAATAATTTGATTAGATTACATTAGATTAGCCTTTATTGTGTCTCCCTTGGGAGAAATTTACCTTGGACAAGCCAGGGAAACACGTCATGTAAGCTAGCAGATGCATACAAACTCTCATTTACAATTCCATCTATTAGCATTCAGTAATTTGATCAATAATGGCAGTAGAGAAAATTTAAAGCTATTTAACTTACAGTTTGGTACCCCGTACCTTTTTTCCATCCCTTTTTTTCACATTTTGAATTTTGGGTCAGAGTTTGATGGAAAGGTTGCCAAACCATGTAGAGATGCTGTAACAGATAATAGATTCAACAATTGTCCTATAAAATAGTAACATAAGGCTATTATTCACTCCATGGACCCTAAGCCTTCTTAAAAAATGCAAGCGCTAAATCATGCACACACCCACTGTAAGTGAACACAGAAATACTTAAAAGTCGTCGCTTGTTCAACCTTCGTACTACTAATCAAACCCGGGCTGTGATCTCCAGTAGATCTTGATCTTGGATCGAAGGTCAATTCCTTATTTTTCTTTAGCTTTAACATTAGGTTTGAAAGCTTTAGTCACAACTGGTTTTTTTTTTCCTTTTTTTTTTCTTTCTTTTTCTTTTTTACATTTTTTGTTATCACTCTACAGCACAGGTGTTGCACTCCAGGCCTCGAGGGCTGGTGTCCTGCAGGTTTTAGATGTGTCCTTGATCCATCACAGCTGATTTAAATGGCTAAATTACCTCCTCAACATGTCTTGAAGTTCTCCAGAGGACTGGTAACGATCATGTGAGTCAGGTGTGTTGACCCAAGGTGAGATCTAAAACCTGCAGGACACCGGTCCTCGAGGCCTGGAGTCCAACATCCCTGCTCTACAGTAATGATGACTGGGAAAACCCAAAGAGGATGAATTAACTTAAAAAGACTTTCTAACCACTGTGTGCAATTTTGTTATTGTGGGTTATGAAGATTATATAAACATACCTTTTAACTTTTTTTTTTTTTTTTTAATCATATTCATGAAATTGTTCTAGCTTCAGCTATACCTCATCTTCATCTGTGTGTCTCAGATTCCACAGGGGCAGTTGCACATAGCCCAGGTACCACAAGGAGAGGAGGTGCAGATCACACAGGACAGTGAGGTTAGTGTGCAAGTGCGCCCGTGAAAGAGGGGTTGTAAAATAGAAAAGAAAAATAAACAATCACCCTGAGTCACTTCTCTAGATTTATTAAATTCACTTCACTAAACATGTATCTAAAAAGAATATGACTGTTATGTAGAACGATGGCACCAGTGGTTGTAGTCAGCCGTCTGCTGATACCTACCTTTCTTTATTGTTTATAGTTAAGTCAAATTTAAGCAGAGTTAAGTTTCGGGGGTAGAAAATCAATTCTGTGTATGTTATTGTGGGGGAAGTTCACAATGTTAATTTGTATTGTTTGAATTTAGTTAATGTTTGTGATTTGAATTGTTTAAACAGCTATCTGAAATTATCCACAATATTTGTTAGAGCTGGAAGAATCTCCTGTTTTGATTAACAACCAAAAACAACCACTTCTATTCATTTTAGCTAGTCAATGGTAGGACTGGTATGATTTCCACTGCATTTGTTTAACTATAAACAAAGGAATACTTGAAAAATGAATTTTTTGCACGACATTACATCTATTCAGTGCCAACTTCTTACGGCAAGAGAACTGCTGATTAGCATAATATACAATGTCTTATAAGAAAGCATAAGTGTGGAATAATTGTCCTGATTACATTGATTTTACAATGGCTGTTTAATTTTGTAATCTCACAAGCAGCTTATTGTAGTCTCTAAACTAGTCTACTTCTACAAAGCAATTTAAACAAGTTTATCAAGAACCTGTATGTTTGTTTTGCTCACACAATTAGCTGGCAGCTAGCTGCTTGTCTGGTGTTGCGCTAGACGTTTTAGACATTAGTGAATTTTAGCCAAAGTAAAGTTTTTTCAGTGAACGTCTTATTGTTTATATATGCTATCTGCCAGATTATGCACAAGGTTTTGAATTTTGTTTTCATGTAATGCCCAGGTGGCTTATTTTCCCCACCACACATCCTTGCATGCGCGTACACAGCCTGTCAGTTGAAATCAAACTCTAACTCCAAACCACCCCGACTTTTAAAGAGGAATTTCCGCATCAACATCTTTGCTAATGATTTTAAAGGATGTGGGAGAGAGATTTATTTCAAGGCGCCAGTCTGTGTACACATATATACATGTAATCACATACTGTATATGATTCAGGCCACACATGCTTGACAGCTCGGCATTTTTGCAAAAGCAATTGACACCTTAAGCAAGTGTTTTTCTAATTTCCTATTCGGTTCTACTCCTAGAGGACACTTAGAGGAAGAAATGCACAATTGAAGGAGAGAGACTGAGTAAATTGGAGGCAGAAAACACTAAAGCCTTTCCTGCACTTGTGGCTGAGCCCAGATTTTTTCCCCTGTCTTTTCTCTTTCGTATTCCATGCTATTGTTTGTTTTTTGGAGTTCAAAGCTTAGCAACAAAATCCCACTTCTCCCAACTGCCACTCACAGAATATGTTTTCATTAGGAACGGGCCCCTTTCATCAAAGGGATTGGTTTTAGTGTGCTTAAAAAGGAAATGAGCTGTTTGAGAGATTACACTGCTCTCTGGCCATATGGCAGCTCAGACAGTATTGCATATATACATGAGATAAAATTAGCTAGAGCAGAAACAGCTGAGACCTGAGGATAGCTAAATGTGTCTTGTATAATATCCTTTTGCAAAATGGTCCTGTTGATATCACTGTGGGTGTTTAGAGATTTTCTAATATAGATCTAATATCTCGATCTGAGACAATCATGCACTTATGTCAGAGCAAACAGATTTCTTTTTATGTTAACAGGGAGTCGAACTCTATCCAGAAATGAAAATACATGGATGTTCCATTCACCTCCTCTCAAGTACAAACACTGGCAGGAACTTATCATGCTGACCTTTTCACACTGCATATCTGATTGGCTTAGATAGTTTAATGACTTGTTTAACTTAATGTGATTTCAGCTTCTTAAAGTAGTTAAACCAAAGTCTTTATATTAAAACATAGGGCTGCTGACTGACATGACATTTCTCAATTTCAGGGAAATCTCCAAATCCACCAGGTGCATGTTGGCCAGGATGGACAGGTAAGAACACGTTTAAGCAAGATTTCTGTATGAATATGCAGAATGTGTAAGCAAGGGACACGATTTTTGGTATTGGAAGCTTTCTGGTTTTTGAGGCACTGCAATGCAGTCTTGACATATGTGGGGGGAAAATGCAGATGGAATAGGAAGTCCTAAGTATATCTAGGATATCTGAAAAGCCAGCAACTGATAATTGATTAAAGTCCTGAAAAATTGACAGTTGCCAGGCAAGGCTAAATCCAGAGGCTTTTGGGTTGGGTTCTCAGACTGACAGCAACTCAAAAGATGTTATAAAACACTAACTGATCTTTGCTGTAGATTTTAAAATATATATATCTCATATTTTCATACTTCGTGGATTATGTTTGCAATTACACTGTCTGATTAGAGGTTAAAGGATGGAGCAGGTCATTATGACTTTGAGGAGATATTTTCTGTTGGCATTCATATATAATGTAAATGTGATCAATGAACCAGGTAAGGTGTCAAATAACAAAAGCTTGTGTCCCATTTATGTTTCAACACAGTATGTTTCAGGATAGACTAATTAGACACACACACACACACACACACACACACACACACACACACACACACACACACACACACACACACACACACACACACACAGACAGAGCAAGATGTCTTTTGTGCTCTTGCAAAGCAGCGTTGGCTGTGTATCACCGATACATGCCACATATGGATGCCTGAAGACAACCACCATTTCACATTCATTATTTCATCATGTTTGTCTAGAAGCTAGGCTTTAGGGAAGGAAGTGCCTTCTCACGCTCCATCTGGTGGTTATACTATTTTGTTACCACAGGTGTGATTATGTAACAGCCTCAGATGGCCTTTTCTTCCTGAATGGAGGCTACACAAACTCCCTCCTGGGATCATCAAAAGGAGATTGTTTACTTACCTTTTTTTTTTAAAGGCAATTAAGAGATGGGTGCGTCACAGACCCATCTTTAACTTATCTTATGGTGCATCACATGGCTGCTGGGTTTGTACACTTTGGTTGCCAACCTAGCACAAAAAAAGCATGCTGTCATCTGCAAAACGTTTTTACCAAACAATCTGATGTCACCCGTAGGTACGGCACACTATGGGGTAGTCAAATATGTGCAAGCATACTTTTCTACTAGCATAAAATGAAAGCATGGTAATTTTTGGTAGAGCTATAAAATGGTGACTCAGGCCAGCCTTTTTGGATTTTATTTCGGTGTCTCAGCAGTTCATTCTGCACATAAACAAAAGCTATTGTGTTTGAAAGCACTGGTTTCTTCCAGGGTTTGTTATGAAAAAAGTCAAAAATAATCTGTAGCCTAAAATTCAGGCTTTCGTGGTCGTAAATTTTGTTGTCTTATAAAGTCTGGTCATAATTTTGTTTTTATCATAAACTGAGGAAACAATAAAACAAGGCTTTCTCTGTACACATTATGCCAGTAACCAGGGTAAAGAATGTAATGTAACAACCCATCTATGCAGTCAGTATGGTAATTGCTTTTTCCAATATGGTAAGCAGTAAGCAATTACAATAGTACTATGTTTTTAGGTACCCCAACACTTTACTTTTAAACAGATACACTCATCAACATATAATATCTCAAAATCTGGAGCAAAGAAGGAGTTACACCACAGCCAGCAGCTGAAACCACTTGTTTCCAGCTGGTCAGTTCTTCATTTTATAGTCTGATTATGATCCCATCACTCAGTTCCCTCATAGGTTCAAGATGCCATTTACTCTGGATGTGCATACATTTGGGTTGCATGAATGCATCTGCTTTATATCAGATTTTTGTTGTTGTTATTGTTGTTTGTATTCCTTTATTGACTGTTAAGCTTGGTGCGTGTTGTCAATTGATTAAGGTAGTCAGCACACATCCATATGCTCCTTCTCTTCACACATGCGTGTTCATGTCCTCAGATGACCTGTTTGGTGAGCCTGACAGCAGCATTCCTCTCCGTCTCTCTCTAAGATCTTAGAAGGAGTTTTGGCTAGAGTGTGGTTTAGATTTTGTCCCATTACACACATTTCCAGCAGTTATTCATATGAGTTCAAAGAGTGCATGAACTACTCTTGCAGATTGCCATTGGGGTTAGCTCTTCTTTGTGGTATACACCATGATTTGCATGGCATAGATTAAAAAAAATGTAACTTTTGAAACTGTATTTTTTGTGGGGGATTTTCATGTGTGTTGCATCCCAAGATAGAGGAACTAAAAGCTCTGTATTCCTCAGGGGTATCTGAGAGTCTATTCCAATGAAAAGCTCCTTTATTTTTTTTCTTATCACTCCCTTTTTTAAAGCTCATATTTTTGTTGGGTTTGTAAAAAGATATCAGAATTGTTCCAAAACAAACACCAAGTGACTTACTCTGCTAGACCTCATGTTGTAGGTCGAGTTGTTCACACACATCCAGTTACATGCGACAATGGCAGTATCTCTTCAATTACAAATTCTCATATTCTCATGCACTGGAGGGAGAGCAAATCTTGGGTCAACTCTTAAATCTTGATAACATGCAGTTAAATCACTGAGCCATTTAAGAGAAACGGTGCTTCCACAAGTATGTTAGTAGTAATAGCACTTACTCAGGAAATGACAGATTATAGCTATATTATGATTGCTGCAGTGTGTCTTGGAACGTCATTCGTTAAGAACCTCAGACACACAGTAAAGATCACACTTGATCCTGATGTGTATTTTCTTAAATGTGTAATTTGTCTGTTTACAGAGAGCCTTACATCAAATGGACTATGAATGATGTCAGTGTTTTTGTAATCTGGCAGACTAGTGCTGAGACTATGTTGGTGTAACCTAGCCTACGCAATTCATCACAGAAAAGCCATCTTTTTATCTCACTCTGGGACCACTTCTTCTTTATTTAACTTTCACTACACTTATGTAGTGTAGTTGTGGCTATGGTTGTCTTTTAAAAGCTACCTGCCACATCCATTTTCTGTTAGATATTTACACTCTGTGGTACTATTTGAGCTATATTTGGACCTGATACCCACATCAAAATAAAGTCAAATTTTCAGCTCAGCACTGATTTTATTTTTTTTTCTAAATAACTGTATAGCTCTTTTGGGGACTTCTAATCCATGTTTATTTCCTTTTTGTAAGGTGGTCTGGCTTGCATTATTCTGTCTCATCAGTCTGTTATGCCAGTAGACTTTATATGAGTCATATCTGGTCACAGTCTGTATAGTCTGAATAATCACTCCTAAAGTTTCAAATTACGATGTCATCTTTCATTGGGATGATGAGTCTGAATCTGGCTTTACAAGCTTTATCATGAAAGATGTTAAATAACTTCTTCTGTTGATTTATATCCTTGTCTCTTTACCAGGGACTGTTAAAGATAGTGGACAGGTTAATTTTGGAGTTTTGCCAAATCGATCTTTTTTTAAACTCTCATATTAACACGTTTTTACTAAATAGCATGTTTTGTGAGTTCAAATCTACCTTTATGTTCTAAACAGACAATACTGCCTGTTCACAGAAACATATTGATATTCTAGTTTGGATTCTTGGTTTTAGAACAATGGTGGAGAGTCCCGGGTACTAAACCCCTACTGGGGCTGTCTCAATCAAGGTGTTCCTTAGAGTTGCTAAACACCTATAGATCTGAGTCATCACACGAGTCAAGTTGTGGGTTACTCCTGTCGCTGGGGCTGAGAGGTGAAACTTCTATGAAACATTTCCCCAACACGGCTGATAGGTGGTGGCTTATGGCACCAGCTATGTTTAAAAATGGTAATTCACAGTGGATATAGATGGCCTCCTTTACTAGTCTCTAAAAACATCTGTCTTCTCTATCTAAAATGTGGCATCCTCAAAAGAGTGTCCTTTCTCCTTTAAGTAAGGCTAAGTTTTGTTGGATTATTAATACATTTGCAGTATATACCTATACAGAACATGCTTTGCTGGCAGTCTACCGTCTATCCATCTATCATCTTTTGTATTGCTACTAGAGACTATGTCCATGCAGTGAGAAGAGAAATGTGCGGCACACATCTTAGTTTTGCACGTTTGTCTAATGCTACAGCCACATTAGGGAAACAGTCCAGGAGACAACTGCATGACCAAAATGATTGTTACTGTGTGCAATGATTTTCTGATCTTGTTACCTTTGAAATGGTGCTTGAAATGCTTCTAACCAGGTGTGCAACCAATTGCAGTCAGTTGCCAAAGGGACTTTAGTGCGTTAAGACAGCAATAAAATATCTATAACACAGAGACGGTCTGCTTTCAGTTTGAAACTGAATGGGGTGAAGTTGGCAGTTACAACCTGATCGACTGAGTGATTAACTTTGATAAATCTGCTGCCATATGCATACTCGGAAATTCACACTAACTACTTATATTCAGAGCCCAGCATGTACTTCATAGATTTGAAACAGAAATTCCTCTTTCATGGTTATTGCAGGACAGCAATTTAACTGCTAACATATGGATTTTAACTTCTATATAGGAATATAACCCAATACAGTAAGAGGAGTTATTTGGAAACCTTTGCTAGGTCGTCCGAGAGTGACTGCTGTCAGTATAAGTCAGACCATTTGGATCACATGCAGCCACAAGTTGAGTGCTGCACGATCAGCCCCTTGAGCAATCACTTGGTCACTGCAGCTACTTCAAGTTGGGCACTGAATATGAAAAAATTCAATGCTATCACTGGACAACCACCAATTTAGTCACAGTGAGGCAAGTCCCATTTTTTGCATGCTAGTGTGATTGAGCCATTGTGTAGTACAGATGACTGTAGAGGGTTGTTTCTTTTGTTTTTTTTGCATCTACACTATAGTATACATTTGTGCATTATGGATGCAGATGTTTTTGTTACTTCTACCATGGGAGTCTGTGCCAACTCAGCCATGAACTTGGTGCCACTGTGCCAGCTGAAAGTCTGAGCAAAACTGGTTTAGAGCGATCCAAAGTTCCCAAATTGCTCATAAAACCCTCTCATGCGGACGGAAGAGAAGGCAGAC